CCAATAAAGAATGGAGGAAAGCAATGAGAGTTGAGATGGACGCATTGGAAAAAAATGGGACGTGGGAGGTGGTTGATCTACCAAAAGAAAAGAAGGCAGTAGGGTGTAAGTAGGTTTTTACCTAAAAATATAAGGCTGATGGATCATTAGAGCGCTACAAAGCAAGGCTCGTTGCTAAGGGGTACACTCAGACATATGGAGTTGATTACCAAGAGACCTTCGCTCCAGTTGCAAAAATGAACACTGTGAGGATCTTGTTGTCATTAGCAGCCAATTTTAATTGGGAATTACAGCAGTACGATGTGAAAAACGCCTTTCTACATGGTCACCTAGAAGAAGAAATCTATATGAGCATCCCGCCAAGATTTGGGGAGTTGAAGGGAACAAGGTATGCAAGTTAAGGAAGGCCTTATACGGTTTAAAACAATTGCCCTGTGCTTGGTTTGGGAGATTTACTAAGGTGATGTCAACTCCAGGATACAAGCAGAGTCAGGGAGATCACACTCTTTTCATCAAACACTCAGTTTCAGGGAAAGTCACGGCCTTAATAGTCTATGTGGACGACATAATTATGACTGGAAATGATGAGAAGGAGAAGCAAGCCTTGAAACAATGTTTGATCAAAGAATTCGAGATAAAAGATTTGGGGAGATTGAAGTATTTTCTAGGGATAGAAGTGGCTCATTCTAGACAAGGTATCTTCATCTCGGAACAAAAGTATGTCATCGATCTTCTTAAGGAAACAGGAATGCTCGCAAGCAAACCAGCTGCAACACCTATAGAGCCGAACCATAGACTTAGAGAGGCTATTGGAGATCAAGCAGTAGATAGAGAGATGTACCAGAGATTAGTTCGTAAACACATTTATCTTGCACACCCGGCCGAACATAGCATATTCTGTTAGCGTCATCAGCCAATTCATGCATGACCCCAAGGAGATTCATCTTCAAGCTGCCTACCGTGTGCTTCATTACTTGAAAACTAATCCTGGGAAGGGGATAATGTTCAAGAGAAAATCTGAGCTTGTCCTTGAAGCCTACACAAATGCAGATTACGCAGGGTCCCCTATGGATCGGAGGTCTACTTCAGGTTATTGTACATTCCTTGGAGGCAATTTGGTAACATAGCGAAGCAAGAAGCAAAATGTTGTAGCCCGGTCAAGTGCAGAAGCCGAGTTTAGAGCAATGGCACAAGGTATCTGTGAGTTGTTATGGCTGAAGATTATACCGGAAGACTTGAAGATTAAATGGAGTGGGCCAATGAGACTCTACTGTGACAATAAATCAGCAATCAACATTGCACATAATCCAGTGCAACACGACCGAACTAAGCACATCGAGATAGACAGGCATTTTATCAAGGAAAAACTAGAAAGCGGATTAATTTGCACACCATACATTCCCACAAGAGGTCAAATGGCAGATGTTCTTACAAAGGGGCTCAACCGTGTTATCTTCCAAGAAATTATTTCCATGCTGGGAATGGTTGACACCTATGAGAGTGGAAAAATACGAGTTAGTCTCCTTGATTAGTGGTAGGTTAGCACTAGAATTGTGTAAATATTTGTTTCCTAGAGTTTAGGGATTTGTGTAAATATTTGTTTCCTAGAGTTTAGGAATTTGATTGATAGGGAATCAGGGATTCCTGATTATAGGGTTTTCAAAATTTAGTTAGTTGCTGATTTTTCTCTCTGTAATTTCTTATATATAGCCCAACAGAGGCTCTTGTAAAAATTAACAGATTCAATATAATTGAATTCATTTCACCACATCGTTATTTATTGTTGCATGTGTCTTAGAGCTAAGGAGAGAGTTGATCACCTCCTTTTGCATTGTCATGTGGCCAGGGACTATTGGGACTTGATGTTGGGATTGTTCGGGGTTCAGGGGGTTATGCCCAGGTCTTCCAAGGGCTTTGTTGAAGCTTGGAGAGGGTGAATAGAGGGGGCCCAAGCCCGGGACGTTTGGAGGACTACGCCTTTGTGCGTCTAGTGGTGTCTATTGCTTGAAAGGAATAAGAGGTCCTTCGAAGGGAAGGATATTCCTATTCCTGTGTTGAAGTTCTCCATTATTACCACTCTTTTTTGTTGTGTTATAGGGAGAAATTATAGATCTTTGAGAGTTTAGAGGCCTTACTTGGCCTTGTGTAGTTCTTGTGGGATGCGGTCCCCTTTTGACCACTTTCTACAATCTCATTTATTAAAAAAAAAAAAAAAAAATGGATTCTCATGTGTTTGTTTTATATAAGACAGAGTGGAATGTGTTGGTCGAGCATCCACAAGATGTGTCGGCCAAGTGTCCAAAATGTGTTAGTCAAGTGTCCGAAATAGTAAAAATTATTCTCAAATTATGGACATGGCCATGAAATGTCGGACACATGTCCAGGAGTGTTCATAAAGTGTTGGTGGCCGACACGATGTCCGACACGCTATGTTACCTAGACTCATCGATTTAGGTGAGGGTGTTCGTGTCGACACGACATGACACGTACACAGGATATGTGTCCAATACTTCTCTTTCATACTGGACACGGCTGATCAGCTGCCATTTATGTTATTTGGAAGGTCTCTCGTTCAAAAATAGGGGTTTGAGAGGTTGAAGAAGATGAATATCTTGATAAGCGTGCTTATGTTTCTTTACCTGCAGCGCGTGCTGTTCACTGCATGATATATGTATACATATCTGTTGTTTTCTCACCAAATATGTTTATGTCAGCTGACCAAACACGCAGTTCTTGGCAACTTTTGACTTTTTACAGCTGTAACAGCTGTTACTTACAAATATATTAAATAATTACTTGAATATACTACTAACTTATATACTTATACTATGATATATGTGGGTTGTGGGTTACAGCTGTAACCCACAATCCATTTTACATAGATATACTGTATTAAATAATTTATATAAATATATATATATATATTAAAAATTACAATGGTAAATTTTAGTTACCTGTGCTAAATAAATAAATAAATAAAATCTCGTTACCTTTCTCTATGCTCCAAATTCCTATGCATGTTTACAGTTATTGGTCAGTAAGTTTTTTTTGCTTTTTCTTCTTTTAATAAAACCGTAAAACGAAAGTAGTCTTGTAAATTTGTAGTAGTTGATAGGCTTTTAGCTGTGCCATAGTCCCCATAGGTGTAATAATTCTACTTGCTATAGACCTAATAATTTCTCTTAACTTGACCAAAAAAATTTGTAAAAAACTTAAAAATACAGAACTCTTTCTCAGTTAACCTTCCTGACCATAATGTGACTGATATTATTTTTATTTTTTAATAGATTAAAACTTTGACGTGTCCAAGTACCCGTGTCCTATTTTTGGACACTTTCAATTCGTGTCCCCGTGTCCAATAATTTGATAGATGGATGGATCCGACCTCTAGACTCACACCCGTGTCCAAGTCCAGGTAACATAGCCAATATGTACACGGCATCTTCGTACAAGTGTCCATGCTTCTTAGCTTGTAGCCTACCTATAGGTGTCGTCACTTGATTGGAGTGCCCCATATTGTTTGCAGCATTTTGTTACCTATTAGTGCTTGCAACATGTCCTGACAGCATAAATATATCATGTTATAATATAAATTTTAAAACCGTGAAGTGTGAACTACCCATGTTATGAAGGTTAAAATCTAACATAATATATTTATAAATTTGTTGATGTACCTATAAAGCATTAAAATCTCTCTCAAAACATAAGAAAACATATTTAGAATAAATTCCAACATAATCTGGACATTGTTCATCAAAGTAACTGGTTGCAAACTGTTATGGCGTCTCTTGATAATTGTATATAGGTTGTTATTTTTTGGTAAGATTAGGTTGTAGTTTTACTTGTAACTTGTGTTAAAATGTCTATATCATCATTATCCTTACCTTTATCCCGCACCAACGAGGTCGGCCACGATTCTCTTTTTCCAATATTTTTTATCATAAGTCATTTCTCCTACTAGATTTAAATTTTTTTAACATTTTTCATCACTTCATTCCATATTAGTTTTGGTCGACCTCTTAGTCTTTTACCTTCTATGCAAATCAATCTCCCTCTCCTCACCAGCGCATCTATAGGTTGGCTATGAATATGTCCAAACCACCTAATTATTCCCTAATCCTTTTATTAACAATCTTATCTTTCTTAGTTATTCCTAACATTCATCTTACCATTCGCATTTCTGCCATATGGATATGTTGTTCGTGTTTCTTTTTTAGCGCCCGACATTCCGCTCCCTATAAAATAGCCGGCCTAATGTTTGTTCTGTATACTTTTCCTTTTAACATAATCGGTATTCGTTTATTGAATAAACCCCCACTAGCATTCATCATCAATCTATCCATCTTGTTAAAATGTCTATATATCAGTCCTATACGTAGTTATAGTAATTCAACATTACATGAAAAAAATTATCTTTGAATTATTCTATTCATGTATTCTTAGTAGATAATCATATGATGTTATCCAACAACTTATTCAAATTTTTCCTTGCTGAAAACAAATTCACACTCACTTATTCCTCAGCTCTACCCTAATGTTTTCTTCTGGGAATAGATCTGTACACCTCAAACACATTAACTTAACCAATTACCTAACTGATCTTTATTCATATTTTTTTTTTTTTTTTTGATAAGTTATTTATATAATTTTACTTTAGTTTCCAATGTTTCCATTCAAAACGTTTCCCTTTCCAAAATCCTAATTGACTGGAAAAACACTCCAAATTAAGATTTTGACCCTTGGGTGAACGTTAGACTTAGGTGGGCCAAGAATATGGTGCCTCTTTTGTAAGTAATGATTCCCGTGAGACCATGGCGATGGAGAATCGAACTACAAAGCAACTTACATTTAAAGGCCACATATTGTGGCATTTTTCTCGCTTAACCATGGGTTTTAATCAGTCTTCTACCTCATTAAAGTAAAAAACACAAACTACAAATTACAGCATATACAATTGAATGGAATTTAAAGCTATGATATATTTAATAATTAGTACTGACCTTTCTGGAAAGAACTGTAAGAATATCGAACCTCTCATGCCTTGATGGGAAATCACAAAAAAGAAGGCGATCAAGCCTACCAGGTCGCAACAGTGCAGCATCGAGTAAATCAGGTCTACTGTTAGGTTCAAAAATACAAAGGTCATTGTGCATTCAATACATGAAATAAATGAAGAGATATCTGCTAGAAACTATTCTGAAAATAAAATAAATAAATAAATCTTAAAAGCTAAGATTGAATATGAGAAACATATCTTAGAAATAGCTAAGTCAACAATTCTAGTTGCTAAACTTAAAGGAAGTGAAAGATCTGTTATTTAGCAAAATAAAGCTTTAGAACAATAGGCTGCACAGTCAAAGGAATTTAATGAAATATTACAAGATAAGATTGATAAACTATAAAGTATTTTTAAGAGAATTAGAAAGAAGTAATTGAAAAGCCTTCTAAAGTAAACTATAAAAATAGATGTGCAAAAGCATGTTGCTACATATTATGACTCTGAAAAAGGTCACATAAAACACTACTAAAAACAGAATAAAAGACCTTAGTTGTAGCATTAAAATGTCTCAAAAGTGAACTTATTGAACAAAATGTTATAAATTTAGAAAAAGTTCACAAAATCATTAGAACCAACAAGGTTAGAATACCTTATGAAGGTTACTGGAGCAAAATGGCCAGGGCCCTCGACAACCCCCCCCCCCCGCCCCCCCCGCGGGGGTGCGCAACGCAGCATCAAACCATTACTTATATACACTCTAATGTCCCTCCTATACATGAATTGAGATTCTGTTGCAGGATTTCTAAATTATGGGTACTTTTTGCCATGAAACCTCTAATACACTGTGAAATGATGATTATGTTTTCAATAATGATTTGAGAAGTAAAAAAACATAAGAGGCTTCCTCACTATTGATAATCTTAGAAGAAGAAGTCAAGTTGTGGTTAACAGGTGCTATATGTGTAAGAAGACGGGGCAATCTATCAACCATCTTCTCATTCATTGCTCGGTGGCAAGGGATGTTTGGTCTTTGTTTTTGGTTGCGTTTGGTACTCCATGGGTGTTCTCAGAAACTACGGTTGACTTGCTAGAGGCTTGGAGAGGGTGTACAGTGGAGAGCCGAGTCAGAGATGCTTGGAGGGGGTTCATGGCACGAGAGAAATAGGAGATGCTTGGAGGGGGTTCGTGGCGCGAGAGAAATAGGAGATACTTTGAGGGAGTGGAGTCTCATATTTGGGCTCTTAAGTATAGTATACTTTCTTCTTTATTCTTTTGGGTAAATGGGCGGGATTGTATGTCAATGGATTGTCTTTTGGATTTTGTTGATAGCTTAAAGCTATAGTGCCGTCATGGATGGTGGTTGTATTTTGGGGGCGCTCCCCTTTTGAGCGTTTTTATGAAATCTTTCTTATCTATCAAAATAAATAATGATTTGAGAAGTAAAAAAAACATACGAGGCTTCAATTTTATGTGGCATAATTATTTAGTAAACTGACTATATTGCTAGGCATAATCCATCAATAAACAGGATGTATTACTACTAGACAGAAAACTTTCCTCCAGCAGAATGCTTCAAGGTATTCATATTAAGCATTTATGGATGACGTAATATTTTCTGAAGAGGAGCTGACCTGGTAGCAGCAAACACAAACACACCGGTCAAGACTTCAACACCATCTAATTCGGTAAGAAACTGTGAGTGAAAAAGGAAGGAAAAACTACAATGAGAAAATTAATTGTGAGGATAGCTAAGTGGTACAACAGAAGGGGGGAAAAAAACACCGACTTGATTAACAACACGATCAGTCACTCCAGTGTTGTCATGGCCTCTTTTTGGTGCAATAGAATCAAATTCATCAAAAAAGAGAAGGCATGGTGCTGCTGCAGCAGCCTTTGAAAATATATCCCGAACCTGAAACCAAATATGAGCATCAGAATTTTGAACCATTACAAGGCTTCTAATAAATAATTATTTCACAATAGTAACATTTCACCAATAAAGGCTCAGACTATTTCAGCAACAAATAGATAAGCACCTATAAAGCATGGCTACAGATATGGGATACTGAAACAATACGGGATACTGACATGATATAAACATAACAATATGATAAATCCTCAGATGATAGGATACAGATTTGGCAGGCTACAATATATACTTGTATATATTTTATCACTGTAGATAAGTATAAAAATCAAAATATAGATGCATCCATGCATAATAAAATAATAAATATTTGTCATGTTATAAAATATGCTATTACCAATACCCCCTTATAAAAAAATAAAAAAAAATAGTAAACAAAAAGAGCGCTAAGAGTTAAATTGCATAGACATATCAACTTTGGACTAATGCATTGTCCCCTTAAAAAGTTATAAAACCAAAGATGGACAACTAATAAGGGACGGAGGGAGTAAACAAAAAGAGCGCTAAGAGTTAAATTGCATAGACATATCAACTTTGGACTCACTCACGTATTATATATTCTCATTGTATTTCTGTAAAATTTGTAAGCATTTGGAACTCTTGTTATACTTTTCCTATCAATTATACTATGATATTATATTTAGAATAGTTACGTTCAAATGTTCAGAACCTATTAGAGATGTGTCTCGAAGGATGGAAAGTGTCGAATACGTGATACCTATTCGAATTAAAAAATATGGATTTTCTGATTATCAATACGTTTAGGAAGTATCGGACACGTATCTGCGAGTACTTAAGGAGTATCAATACCCAATACAGCAACAATTCGCATACATACCCTTATAGAAGTATCTGTGCTTCATTTATCAGCACATTTTAGCTTAGAGAACCACTAAAAGATAAGATAAAGTATAGCAATGCACTGGACATACTATCTTTTCTTTATGCAACATTAATTCACCTTTCTAATGTAGAAGTCTCCTCATTAACTCCTCTGACTGAAACAAGAAATAAAAAATTTATATCCGATGACTCTTGTAGTAGCTTGTAGAAAAGGTACGTAAAATTAATGACAACCTCAAACAGTATGAATAAGCTTATAATACAATATAAGAACATTTGCAAGGAACTTTTTTTTTTTTTTTTTTATAAGTAAAATGTATTAGAAAGCGTTCAAACGGGGAACGCGTCCCAAGAGCTATACAGAGGCCGAAGCCCGAGACAAGGTCCTACAGACCCACCGAACCCAAAAAATCAATAAACTCATCAATGGATATACAATTTCTCCCCAAAACCCAACTTAAAAGAGAGCTAATAATATGAAACTTCAAGGCCCCTGAGGATTCTTCCCCTTCAAAAGATCTTTTACTCCGCTCCTTCCATAAGCACCACCAAACACAAAGGGGAACCACCCTCCAACACTCACGGGCGTGGGCTCCCACACTACAGCCTCGCCAAGCATCAATCAACCCCCTCGAGGACCGAGGCATAACCCAATGGACGCCGAAAATGCCAAAGGTAAGGCTCCAACAGTTGTGAGCTATAGGGCAATGCAAAAGAAGGTGATCCAAAGATCCGCCACTCCTCTCGCACAAACAACACCAATTGATTGTAATCTGTCTTCTCTTTCTCAAATTACCCAGGGTCCAAATCTTGCCCCAAACAGCAGTCCAAACAAAGAAGGCCACTCTGAGGGGAGCCTTGGAACGCCACACCATTTTCCAAGGGAAATTAGAACCATGAAAATCATATAGACAACGGAATAGGAACGAACCTCGAACCTCCCTTGAGAGGAAGGCACCCATTTGCAAGGAACATTAACAAGAAAGGAAAATTTGGGTTGGTTTGAGGTATTCTTTGTACTTAAAGTTCTTAAATGAACATAGCCAAAACAAGAGCAAAATGTATACTTGAGGGATTCAAGAATTATTATGCAGGTCCCTCGTCATTTGGTTATAACGTTAATTTTTTTTTTTTTTTTTTTGATAAGTAAAAATGTATTAGAAAGCATTCAAAAGAGGAACACGTCCCAAGAGCTGTACAAAAAACCCAAAAAAAAAAGAGGGGGAGGGAGGAAGACCTATGGACCAAAAGACCCCGAAAAGTCCATAATCTCATCTAAAGATATACAATCTCTCCCCATACCCCCAACTAAAAAGAGAACAAATAATAGAAAACTTCAACACCCCAATGGAGCTTTCCTCCCCATCAAAAGATCTATTCCACTATTTCCAGAGACTTCACCAAACACAGAGGGGGGTCACCCTCCAAAAATCGCGAACACGCGCTCCCACCCTTTGGCCCCTCCAAATATCAATAAAGTCCCTTGAGGTCCGAAGCATAACCCACTGGACGCCAAAAAGACCCAAAATAAGACTCCAGCAATCATAAGCCACGGGACAATGCAAGAAGAAGTGATCCACAGACTCTCCATCATTCATACATAGACAACACCGGTTGATAATGACTTGTCTTCTCTTCCTCAAGTTGTCCAGAGTCAAGATCTTACCCCAAGCAGCAGTCCACACAAAAGGGACTTGATTATTAAGAATCAGGTGGGTGCTATTTCGCGTTTTGATGGTCCTCCTGTAGAATTCTTGCTTTAATGAATTCCTATTTTTTTTATACTTCTTATTTTCTAAAAGTAGCTCATTCTAGAGTACCCAAATTGAATCCAGTTACGAGTCTTTTCTTCGGTTTGTTTACCACTATATTCATATAAGTATTTTCAAAAAAATTGAATCCTATTAGATTATTAGACTTTTAAGTGTTGTTCTTAGAAGATTTTTATTTGCTAAGGAAGTCATAAACATATAAATACGATGCATGAGATCTAAATAAGAAAAAGAGTGAAACAAGAGTGACAATCGACATTACTAATTGCACATCTACTTCCTGGCCCATTTTTTCCTCTCTATCTTCTTATTGATATCCAAAAATTCCAACGAGCTAATTTTTCTAGGGATTTCATTAATGTATCTGTGTCAAGCTTCATCTACTCTAATCTTATATCATCTACAAAAGATTAATTTTCAATCTATTTCACATATCCTAAAATCTTAAGCAACTCAAAGTCCTGGCCATCAAATAAATAGATCTAAACAGTAACATACAGAAATAAAATATGTTATGAAGCATCGCATAGCCAGCTTTAAAAGCTGGGAATAAGGTGGTGGGTGATTGTGTTTATTGTTGTATGACCATTATAATCATTACGTGAATCATACATTTTTCCAAATAAAGGAATATTTCTTCAAAGTCACTGATTTGATTTGTTTCTTTTCACACTAGACAACTCTAAGCAACTGAAACATCAAATGGTAAAGATGAGTACCGTCAGACATAGATAACTATCTAAAAGTTTTCTAGGAGATGGACCAAGAAATAAGAACTGAATAGTAGCATCAAGACTAGCATATTAAACATTACACGATTTAAGTATCACAACCTGCTGTTTTTATGTCTGCCCAAGTAAGAGGATCATCAAACACCATGATATAAATAGACCAACAAAAAATAGTAACAAGGCTTAATTATATCTTACAGCTTGCTCAGAAGCACCAATGTATTTATTCAGCAACTCAGGCCCTTTCACTGAGATAAATCTTAGCGAACAAGCGGCGGCGGCGGCACCCACAATATGTGTCTTGCCACAACCAGGAGGGCCATATAACAGAACATTTGACCGCAGCCGTAAAGGAGCTTGTGCAAATACATTTGGAAACTTTGAAGGTAATTCAATCATCTAACACAGAATACAAAATACAATATTAAGAAAGCTTAAAAAAAAATTGAGATGAAAGTATTGGGTATGAGATAAAGCTGAAAATTGCTCGTCATATTACAACGCATCATAAAAATCATGTTATAGAACTCTAGTAGTTAGTAATGTCAAAGACAAATGATAGAATTCAAACAACTATATAAAACAATCAGACACATTTTTGGTTCATTGAATCGGTGCAACCTTGACACAGAAAGCAAACCTAACCTATGTATTGTGATCCTATAAAAATTAGTGTGAGGGGGATGCGTGAGTACGACTATTCTATAACAATTAGTGATTGAATGCATATATATATAAATGGATCATACAAGTGACTAGAAGAGAGGTTTACTTAATCAAAGTGTAAGGGAGAGATTAGGAGTAGAACCTATTAGGGGCAAAATAAAAGAGAGCAGGCTTAGGTGGTGTAGGTGTCAGGTTCTAAAAGATAAGGAATGGACTATTCTCAATGGGCCCATAGTGAGAAAAATGGCCTAGGTGGAGATCTGAGCCTAGTCTTCACTTTGAATAAGGTTAGAACAAGTTTAGGTGGGGATAAGAGCTTCCTTGAATAAGGTTGTTCTATTGTGGTTGTTCCTCCCTCATAAATGGTGGATTAACTCCTTTTACAACTACTAGCTTTGCGGATAAGTCTGATCAAAGGGCACCATGAAGAGAAGACATGATGAAACAACAGTATAGCTCCAACTATATTGTCACAATAATTTAGGTAAGGTAAAGGACGTGCATTTATAACTCCTAACACAAAGAAGACTTGCTTGAAATGCGAGTCTTTTCCTGGATGGTGTCCGAATCCTTCTTCTGTTCAAGGAGACTATCTTTCCTGGAGGGTGTCCAACAAGCTAAAAGTGCTTCCCTCACCATGCACGGTGGACCCCCTTTGGCCACTGTCAAAACTTAACCACCAGGCCAACTCCTCCTAGGTTCCTGCTAGTGATCGTGGACTCGAGACCCCCGGGGGGCCCAAGAGCCTTCGTTTCATTTTTCAAGGGCCTTCAACTCGTCCCCAAGGCTTATCCGTAGAGAGGAGCGCGAGGTTTCTCCATAAGAAAAGAGCTCCTCGAAAGCCTTTTTTCCTCAAGGTGGTTTATCCGTAGAAAGGAGGTCCTCGAAGGCCTTCAACTCATCCCCGAGGTCTATCCGTAGAGAGGAGTTCCTCAAGGACCTCAAACTCGTCCCGAGGTTTATCCTTAGAGAGGCCCTCTGTGGTTGCATTCTGCAAGTAACAGTGACGGGCATATGTTTGCACGAGGTCATCAACTCATTGTTTAGACGTCAAGGTTGTGTGCTCCAGGGCACGTGATGGTGATCATTGCCTTGCAGCTTTGGCGATCAGCAACCCTCCTCCACATAGCGGAGAATGGCACGTGGCTACACCTAGACTTGGGGTTGTGGGCTTGGTACCCACAGTTGGTACAGACAGTGGGGACAAAAAATGTAGACGTATAGATGCACTAGTGAAAAAAAGAAGATTAGTTTGCATAGAAGGTAAGAAAGAGCGAGGCCGACCAAAACTGACTTGGGATGAAGTAATCAGAAATTACTTCATAAAATTAATTATAAGAAGAGACATGGCTTGTAATTGAATAGAATGAAAAGAGAGAATTCACGTGGCCAACCCCATTTGTTTGGGATAAAGTCAAGGAGGACGAAGACAACCACGATGAATGCATTTATAGACATGCACAAACCATTACTTTCACCTGCATTTCAATGTTCATTAATCAAACACGGCAACATCAGTTCTGAAAAAGGGATCCATGTTTGATGCCATATATTCTTTATCATAGGTTCAAGCAACCGGCTGAAATATCAAAAAGATCAGAAGGAAAAGCCAAATTCAAATCCATGTGTTGATACAGTTTTTTTTTTTTTTTTCCTTAATTGGTACTCACACACACATGCCTCCATTGAGGCCCGAACCCCTAACCTCCCTTTGGGAAGTAGGGACCTGGTACTACTAGGCCAGTTACCAGGCCACTGGCCTATTGGTATGTGTTGATACAGTTCAAGTGCCACAAAGAAATGTCTCCACGCATTTTTGCAGTTTAAGATAGTCATACCTCAAATTTCCATCAATCTCAAAAAAATTCAAATGGAAAATAAAAATACATATATTTCTTTTTTCACCCTTTTCTAAATGTTAAGGAGTGCATAACCATAAAGACACACAAAGCAGGAAAAACGATTCCAGGCCTTTCACTGAAACCAATATCTAAACCCCAACAAATCCTATTTTTATTTTTTAATAATTTTTAAATGCACTAGTACACAAAGCATGCAAATTTATACCTCTTTGATAGCATTCCGGATGCTCATAAGTCCTCCAACGTCCTCCCAACCAGAGCGGCCAACTTCAGAAGCAGATTTAGTAATGTCTCGCATGGAAACTGGAAGGAACTCATGCATTGCTTGTGAAAAATCATCCCTAACCAAAATAGGCTTCCCGTGCTCTCCAAAAGCCAGATCACTAGATAAATATCGACCAATGGCAGCATGAACAGATCTATCAACAAGAATTTCCTGCAACAACGTAGCTGATTATAACGATTTCCGCGTTAAGGGCAAATGAGTCGAATTTTGACTCGCGATCTGACCAGGAATCAGAGATTTTGATTGCAAACAGGAACTTTTGAGCACTGCCAATATAGTCTGATTGCAATTTGAAGACTTCAACCAAAACTTCGTAACCTTTTTTTTTTAATCCAGAAAATTTGTAACTTACATTAATTGCAGAATAGTACTTAATTCAAAAACTGAATGCTGTAGGCCATAACAGTAGATCCCAAGATTGAACAACTGCCCCTATGAATGTTTTCGTAACTTTCACTACTTTCAGGATAGTATTTCATTCAAAAACAGAGTTTCGTAGACCATAACAGTTGAACCAAAGATTGAAAAGCTACCCATAGCACCAAAGCAACCAAGCTATTTGTTAACTTGTGCTACAATATAGCATTATCTATGTCTTAATACTTGCCATTAACCCCAAAAGCTTTTCACAGATTAACTCTCATCTCCCACATTACTCTTATCCATGCACTGGTAACCTACATTCAAGCACTAAAGCGCAATTACAAATATGTTTATATACTTGTGATATTACATAATACTTATGTTGAGAACACAAGTAGCCATGAGGACCATTAATATATATATATATAACAAAGAGCAAGAGGAGGCTGCATATAAACTTCCTCATGCAGTTTTTCATGAAGGCATGTATTATTCGCAATGAGCTAAAAAGGGACCACAGTCAAATAGAGGCCGCAACAATACAAAGACAGTGTTAATCATCTTGGCAAGAGGAGCAAAGTCTCCTCAAGATCAAATTTGGAACAACGCCTGCTCTAACGTGTGAGAGCCTTGGGCAATGATTAATATCTCAGTTGGTATCAGAGTACATCAATTTTAGATTCTTCAGACAATACCCCCAAAACATGAAGGTACTTCTCGACCGAAAAATTCCTCTTATCCTGAGAACGCATCAATCTGCACCCCATTACAGGAATTCACTATATGTTCTTGAATGCGACTCTTTAGAAAGAAACCAAGCATATTCATTCTCTAATGCAAGGCATCAAGGTGACTGAAAGAGTCAGTGTTCCTAAAGAAAATGACCACCAACATGCAACAGAACTAACCAATAAGCTTATGGTGATAATATCATGAGACATTATATTTTTTCCACTTATTTGGACTTGTAAAAAAGGATTTCTAAGCCTACATGATAAGAATGGCATACTAAACATGCTTCAGTATCACAACTGATAACCAATCAATACAGTATCTATAGACAACAGAAATTCTCAAACATCAAAATGCTGTACATAAGGATGGAAATGCAAAATTAATACAATAATAATCAACATTTGAACTGAAAAATGATTTTGCAATCACGCATTAACATAAACTTCAAAATGAGCCCAATACCAGATCATGTGCATCATATCCATCACACTTGGAGGCTACGTCTAGCAAGATGTCCTCAGAACATTGTAAGGAACGTTTCCGGATTTCATGTTTTAATAATGCACCACGTTCTGAGGCAGCAGGAGCAGGCAGTTGGACATGAAAATCAAACCTCCCTGAGTTGAATTAAAATTCACAAAAAGAAGATTTAGAATATGAAAAATCACATAGAAGGGGAAACCAGTGCGGTATATCAAATGCACTGTACCAACTACCAAGTAAAGGATGGGACTCAACTATAATTCAATGTGACTAACCAGAAGAGCTCAAGGACTGTGGTATACTCGTGAGAGACTGAGCAGAAGCAACAAGTGCAATCGGGCCAATTCCACATGAACACCTCCTCTTTTCCTGTTGTGTACAAAGAAATTGTATTAGTTAACAGACCGGGAGCGTTAAGGTAACCAAAACTTCTTGGAAAATTTTTGAACACATGGTTTCATAGCATTATATCAGTAGGATATATTACACTACATTGAACAAGTATTTATTTCATATAAGTAGCTGAACTAAATTCAATCCTCATTACAAAATGCAAAGGGCACGTTATTAACCAAATAAAACAGTAAAGCCAGTATAATCTGGACCTATACGTTTTTTTATGCAATATTTAACAAATTAATTCTATTTGAGTAAAATTACTCCCCATCATATCCCTTAAAAGAAGAAAAGATAGAAATTATGTTGATCACACAACCAATTAAAAGTGAGAATATAGCTCCTTGAATTTTAGCTTTACTCTTTGTATAGCAGAAATACATGGCATTATGGCAATATAGTCATAAGTTCATAACTCTGCGAAAATAAGGCATATATGAATAAAAGAGAAACTATTTTGTTCACCAACCAGATCAATTTATTTCTGACATAGCAGCTAAAACAAGAAAGCATACATCAAAGAAACTAAATAATTGAAGTTTGAAAGAAAATATGTTTTAAAGCTTCCCTACGATACTATCCAGCAAGAGAGACAAATGAAGAGAAAATACAGGTCAGTTGACTCAAAAGCTCTCCATAGAACCCTTGCCAGGTAAACTATTGGTGAATAAATCTCTAAAGTGAAGCTCACATTAAAATAATGATCAGCAGTCTGATGAAAGTCTGTGCTCAAGGTTTAAGGTTGTAACTTGTAAGTCAAAGGGCATGGAAAATTATTGCTGCTATATTCCTGGGAAACCAAGAAACAGCATCATACTCTATATTTTCAATCCTTTAAAGCTTCGAACTTCTAAAATGATTACAATTTGCTGAAAATATTATTATGATGAAACAGATATTGATGTGTGGAATAAAAGGACTTCCTGAATGCCATGGAAAGTGTTCCTATAAGGTAAAGAAGCAGATATTATGATGAAGCAGATATACCAATGGCGTTCCGGTATCTTTTGCCCTAAATGTTTATCAGCTTTATATAAAACCCACTTACAAGTTACAACCAACTTTTTCTCTTCCCAAACAAGGGTTGCAATAATGACATTGTTTTCTAAAAAACATCAAAAGTAGCTTAAATTCATCTTTAAGAAACCAATATTCATCTCAATGTCTAATGATTGTAGTCTCTTAACGTTCAAGCATGAAGCGAACACTGATGCACGTAACATAACTGAACAATACCTGTACAGAATTAGGTTATTGCCACATTCTAGAAAAACATGGTACCAATAAACTAAAATGAAAACAATATAATTACCCGTGTATATATAAGCATTACCTCATATTCATCCATAATATCTGTAAGAAATTCTGTAAGTGCAGCAATGGAGGATGAAGGTTGAGATCCTTCTGAATCAGAGGATGATGTTATAATGTTATCAAGATCGTCAAAGATGACAACTGAAGGTGCATGATCTAAAGCTTCAGATATGTAGCCAGAAAGGGCTTGACGAATAGTTGACGATTTCTCCAAAGCAAGTTTGGAACAACATACAAAAACTCTGCGAAACAAACCTCCGTTGACTATAGATAGATTTCACAATCAAAACCGGTGCCATGATTGAATTAAAAAAAATTTTGATAAGTAAAAAAAAAAAAAAAAAACATTGAATTCATAAAATAAGTCCATACACGTGTGCCAAGATGTCCTTGTTTTCTTCAACAGATTTTGCAACAGCAGTGGCTAATAATGTTTTTCCAGAACCCTAACGCAGTAAAAAACATATCTGAGATTCAATCACTGTCAAATCAGATAAGATATGTTTAATGAACAAGATACAGTATTAACAACAATTGTAATAGCTCATGAATTTTGGTTTTGATAACAATCTCAAATGTCCAGATTCATAACTATTTTTCGATTTTTCTCCACAAGAAGTAACAATATACATCAAATACGATATAAACAATTATGCTACATATATGTCATTTTGTTTATGAATTTAGCTTTTAAATCTACTTGTAACACTAGACTAACTTATTAACAAACAAAAGAAACTTCACTTGTGGGGCAACTGGAATCCACATGACTAGTTGATAATAAGAGTACTCTGTACTCCAACCGGAAGAGACATGAGCTTAAGCCAGAATCCTGAGCTTCACTTACATTCTCAAATGAATCACTAAAAAGAAATCAAAGATTTTCATCTAGTCAAGGGACCAAAACAAAATGAAAGGGAATACAGAACACTTGGAGCATTTTACAGATCATTTAGTATTTAGAAAATTCTCTGCTCAATTGTCCAAATCTAGGCAGAATTTCATCGGTTGAAATGGACACATTCCATTGAGCTAGCTCCTGGCTTGGAAGTTTCTTTGCAGTCAATCAAACACACTCTCAAGGACTTGAATGTGTTGCTGGGAGATTAACCAGGCTAGGATTGTGCATGTAGGTTGAGCTGTAGAGTTGACTGCAAAGCCGGAATCCTGAGCTTCACTTACATTCTCAATATAAGGTATGACCATGTGTTCTGTAATTTCCCTATTACTTGCAGCAATCCTTCTTTTACTGGATTTTGGATTGACCGTGTGAACATTAGCGTTAAGCACGGAAAAGAAAAACCATAACTTCTTAACCCATGATGAAGCTATAGAAGAAATTAAATGGCAAAAATGTTTCATTTGGCAGACTTCCAAGAAGTTGGGAGAGGAGTTTAATAAGCGAAATTGACTTTAAAGTGAGATCTGGAGCACCCAACTTCAACAAAAATGGAAAACACCATTCAATTTGATAAAGGTCTTGAGCAATCACAAGGCTCCAAAAAGGACTGTTAGAGAGTTTGAGTTTGTTATTTCTTTTATTCATCAAGGCACTATTGTATTTTTATCCTCCCAATATACAAATAGGTGAGAGGTGTGGGAAACCCTAATACACTCTCATCCTTTACAGAATTCTTATCTCTCTCTTCTTCTTTCTTCCTCTTCCTCACTACTTCTACAAACACGAGATCATTCAAACTTTAACTAGAATAAATGGCAGCATCCATGCCAATGTCTCCCCTGATGAAAATTCAACCTAGATAACAAAAATGCGAGTTGTTTGCCGTCTCCTAGTCACCAATATAACTAGTTCTTTGCTATTGGGAAGTGGACGACGGCATTGGTTTTTTGGGACTTTTGTATCGTCAGGTGGTTGGCCCGGATTCTATCGTTTGGGTACCTTCCTCTCGTGAGTTTTGATGTGCCCTCTCTATTTAGATGCCTCTCGGGCTTTCCCAGGTCTGTTTCCCAGTGGAAGGCAGCTTGGCACTCTAAGGCTCCACTCAAGGTGGCCTTTTTGTTTGGACGGCAGTGTGGGGCAAGATTCTTACGCTCAATAACCTGAGAACAAAAAGGCAGGTGACTGTTAATTGGTGTTGTATGTGCAAGAGGGATGGAGAGTCGGTTGACCATCTCCTTTTGCACTGTCCCATGGTTTGGCGCTCTAAGGCTCCGCTCGAGGTGGCCTTTTTTGTCTACAGGGCAGTGTGGGGCAAGATTCTGACGCTCAATAACCTGAGAATGAAAAGGCAGGTGACTGTTAACCGGTGTTGTATGTGCAAGAGGGATGAAGAGTCAGTTGACCATCTCCTTTTGCACCGTCCCGTGGCCTATGATTGCTGGGTTCTTACCTTGTCTTGTTTGGTGTTCAGTGGGTCATGCCTCGGTCTTCGAGAGGCTTGATGGATGTTCGGAGAGGGTGTTTTGTGGGATCCCACACTTGCGGCTATTGGAGAGTGGCGCCCTTATGCATTTGGTGGTGTTCATGGAAGGAGCGGAATAGAAGATCCTTGGATGGAGAGGAATCTTCTATTGGGGCTATAAAATCTATTATTGTTAGCTCTCTCTTTTGGGTTTTTTGAGTCCTTAAGGCCCCTCTTGGCTTTGGCCTTTGTGTAGCTTTCGGGATGCGTTCCCCTTTTCAACGCTTTCTAATACAATTTCACTTATTAAAAAAAAAAAAAAAACTTTATACGCTCTGAACCATAGAGGCAAAAATGCCAAAAAAGAAAGATAAACTGTGTAATATACTCAAAAAAGAAGAAAAAAAAAATGTTTTGTTCAATAAGTGCCCCAGCAGTCATATTAGCGTTGACAAGGAGATTACTTTCCCATCAACCATTTTGTCACCAAATAAAAGAAAATTGAAGTTGAGACTAACTCACAGGAGGTCCATATATCAAGACATGTCCGGGAAAAGGAAGTTTATAAGCACTGAACAACATCCCAGAAACAGGAGACAATAACATTGCCAACCCTGCAGATGTAAGAATAATATGTCAGGAAAATCCAAGGCTTCCTTCATGGAATAGGTTTGGGTAGAACATAGATATCATGTAATACTACATAAAAGAATGTGTCAGAACTAAAACTATAATATTCAAGGAAGTACACCATTCAAATTGAAGAACAATGGGAAACATCAGTGAAAAAAGATCAGCAAAAGGCAACAGAAACACTTATGGTAACACTCCTCTCTTCAGCTGTGAGAGGACTCCATAAACGCCTTACCCTTTGATAGGTCCCTAGGTGACTTCATCAAAAAATACGTTTATTAAACCACTAACATGAACCCTAAAAGGAGCAACTTGTACTCTTCAACTATAGTTGTAGAAAGTACTTTTTGTCCCGTTTTGTGTGCCTGGCTGAGGATGCGCTTCACCACATTCCAACAGACAGGTCTTGGATTAGATTGATATCTCTTAGACAAATTTCATCCCAAGAGGTTGCCCAGCTAATTGGTAGTTGCAGAAGGTCTGGAAGCCAAACCCCAAAGACGCAATTAAGATTCCCTCACATATTTTCCTCCTGGCCTGCTCTTAGTTTTCTGAGAAAGCACGCAACTCACAATAAAACACCCCGTTAAGAATTGTTGAGGGCCATGAAGCATGTTTACACACTTTACAGTTATGGTTCACAAATATAGAACACGAGATAAAGACCAATATAACAAATTCTAAAAATCAGGATATGGATACAATGAGTATATGACTATATATATATATCATTGTATTTATGTACATAAGTATAAAAAATAAAGTATTTATGTATCTAAATATAAATTTAAGATAATTAGGGTAACATACTGCTCACCCTAAGCGCCTAGATATTAAAAGAAAGAAAAAAATATATATATATTAGTCTTTTTCCGGAGTCCGCATCGCCGCAGAGCAACAGCTTCATCCGGATCTAATCTATCTAGTTGTATGTTAGATGGCCTTGTCCAAACTTGTAAAGCCCCCATTCCACGTAAAACTTGGATATGGGTATGAGATGCATGTCCTAAATATATAATTCGACATGCAACTAGCAAGCATATGCAATAATTCAAGTTTATTATATAATTTTACATAAAACTCTCTTATTATGTTCATCCTATTACATTGTGAATTCAAAACGAGTGAAACACCAATGTTGAACATTCTGTGTTACAAAAAAACATCATTTATCAAAAAAATTAAAGAAAAACATACAACAGTAAGTTTATTAGCTTTGTACTGGAATCCTTAGGTTTAAGTATTTCAATGTTCCAACACATACAGACATGCATGTATCTGACACGTGTACATGAGGTTTAAGGATTTAACGTTCTAATGCATATACCTGACACATGTACAGTTTGTACATCAGGTTTATAGATTTCTTTCCTGTACAAATTTTATTCTTCGATTGTGTACTTTTGTGTGCTTTTATTTCATTTTCTTCTTAACTAAAGGAAGAGTTTGAAATCTTTCTATTTTCAGAATTCTTATGATTTTTTAGAGAGACTTCAATCCTTTCATTTTTCTTAAGGTCTTCTTTTCTTCTCAAGCACCTTTGTCTTATGTGACCTTTTTCCAGAACAGTAATGATGAGTAAACACATGATTAGAGGAGCCTTTACAATCTCTTCAAACTTTTTTAGATTTCACATTAGCATGTTTACCTTTTTCGAAAATCTTAATACATTTACAATCTAATTTCTTTCATCCTCAAATGCTCCTAGAATGCTATTTGTCTTCTTAAATTCAACATCTAGTATATCAATTTAAGCTTTTGATATCTCATTAAGTTCCTTTCACTGAATATCCTCTTCTTTCCAAAAACTTACCCTGCTAAATAAAGATTCATTCTCTTCATCAAGTTTTGCAACAAGAATTGTTGATTTTTAAGTGTGTAATTTATATTTTCTATTTCAAGCTCCATTACAATCACTATTTCCAACAATTCTGTGTTTACCTGTTGTAGGTAAAGAGAAAGTTGTATGTAGCCAAAGCAAATCTAAATTTGTCATCTTCCTAATAATCTAAGTCATTACTTAGCAAAAATTCGAAATTCATTAATTCACTTTCAAAGGAATCAAAAGAGAGAATCATTCTTCAGCAAATTTTTCTCAACTTCACTAGTCACAATCAAAACTATAATCAAATAACTAGGCATAAGATTGTCATGCATTAAATTATCAAAGATAGCACAAAATCATAGTATTTAAAATCAGCAGCATCTACTTTATGATCCATAGTAAAATAAAGATTCTCCCAAGAATCAACCCTCTATGTTGAGAGATCTGCTCTAGTACAATTGAGGGAACAACTGGTACAGAGTGTACACAGTCCAATTCAGGCCAAGAGGGAGGAGTTAATAAATTTTATGGATATTATTTGTCAAAAACTTACTTTTGAATTTTAGTTTGAACTGATTATTTTTTAATTTTGATCAAATTCATCTATCCATGTGCCTCAATTGTAATCATAAACACAACAGTAAATAAGTATACAACAGAGACACCAATTTTTATGTGGAGAACCCTAGAAAGGGAAAAATCACAGGAACGTTCAATTCAGTCGTGAGCAATCCATTATAGAAAAAAGGTTTCTAACACTAGGCATCAAACTTTAACCTTTAGAATCACCTAATTACCTCTCATCCAAACTCACACCATTTTTTCACCCTTGAACGTTGTTGTCAATCAATAGTCAATATAGAAGTTCTGATTATAACCAACGGAGGGTCAGTGGCCTAGTGTAACGGGTGGGCGCTTGCCCATTTACCCAAAAGCTCGAACTATTGGATAGTGCTGCATACCCACCCATTTATACCCATGTCACTTCCCATCCGGATCCAATGTGGGACAAGTCTCCCCTTAATCCGGCGTGGCACCAGATCAAGGACTGGGTCTGGCTCTGATACCAACTGTAACGGGTGGGCGCTTACCCATTTACCCAAAAGCTCGAACTATTGGGTAGTGCTGCATACCCACCCATTTATACCCATGTCACTTCCCATCCGGATCCGATGTGGGACAAGTCTCCCCTTGTAACACCTAGCATAGCGGTACCAGACCCCTACTTCCCAAAGGAAGGTCAGGGGTTCGAGCCTCAGTGGAGGCATGTGTGTGTGAGTACCAACTAAGGAAAAAAAAAACCCTAATTATACCAGAGAAAGTTGCAATCCTTTAAAATATAAAATTTCGTAAGCTTCAAAATTCTCCAGCCAATGATCAATTGATCAAGCCACAAATTTTATCTATCGAACATACTCCAGAAGCCATCGAATGAAGAATCTAATCGATCGGTCTGTCAATCGTTGCTTTTTGTTTTTCTTCAATGAAGAGGTTCTACCTATCGAGACAATGATCATTCCTCATTGTTTTCCAATTTATAAATCACTCGATGTTCAGTCGGGCAATCACAGGGTTTGATCTGTCAAAATCCAAAATTCTGCAAACTTTATTGAATTAAACTAAAGTCATGGGAAGTCCAACTATCTAAGTAATTAATTCAGCGTATATGACCTAGGTGATTCTAGGGTAAGAAATTGAGACCTACAACGTGACATTTTTGTTCATACCAATTGGTTCTGCCTGCACTAAATACTGTGATTTTTTCATTTGGGGTTTTTCATGTAAATTTGGTGTTGTATATTGCTTTTTTATCTAGATTTGAGTAATATATTTTGTTTATATATGGTGATTGATCGATTAGTTAAATGTTAAATTTCTGTTAAGTTAGTTGCATAGAATTTTCAAGACATGTTCACCTATCAAAGCCTATATCAGAGCCTAGGGTGCCGTTCCTTCCATCATATACAACAAATTGTGCAAAATATGTGTGTCAGGTACAATAAGACATGAGTTTGGTTGTGGACCATGCCCACCACGCCTGCTAAAATAGAAGACAATAAACGGGGGTTTCTAACAAAGGCGGAAGAAGATTTTTCATTTAAACAAGGATAACAAAATTTTCAAATTAATAAACTTATCAGACAACTAAATGCATTTGGGCATTTAGAATTGTGAAGAAAAAAAAGTACCTACTATTAATAACATCAGCAGCAGCTGTTCCCATCCAGCTCAAGGAAGAAATGGTCGAATCAAAGTCCATATGAAAGGTTCTCTCTTTGACGGGATAAAAGCATACACCATCACCTAAGCGCAGGTTTCCAAGTAACAATTCCAAGCTTCCCAGATTATTGTTCCTCTTGTTTCCTTCATCAAAAGCAAGTTCATGAGCATTAACCATTTCACCGTGCAGAGATTCCTCAGGTGTGGACAGAACGTATAGGATGTCATATGATGGTTCTTCAACTCTATTTCTGGTCTCCATGTAACCATCTGACAATAACTGTACCTTTCCAGGCATCCCAAATTTGTGACCGTTCACTTCAAAGTGAAGCAAAGTTTCATTTGCAATAATTAATGAATTAATTTCCTGTCCCACATTTAAAGCAATGGCGTCAAGTTGAGCAAAATACCATGCACGAAGCAGGATTTGTATTCCCCTCCTGGACTTGGACTTAGCAACAGCCTCTTCATCCCCAATATTAGGAGATTCATCAGATAGAGCTGCCACAAATCTCTCATGATTTGACCAATCAATGATACCCATATCAGTGCCGGATCTGCTTTTGAGAAGCATATTTTTGGTCTTATGATTCATACGACTATCAAGACCTTCTGGACCATTGTTCTCAAAAGCCTTATTCTTCCCAAACATCTTAAATTGGCAAGGGGAAAGTGAAAGTAAAGGAATGTCTTTCTTCAAATGAATATTACATCTTTTCACATATATCCCTGGAAAAATAAGAGGATTCTCATTTCAAAGCAATTAAATTAAGAATTCAAGATGGAGAATAAGGACTATAGAATAAATTTAAAAATGTCATTGTGTCACCACAAAATGTCAAAAAAAGCATAGATTCATTTAGAATAGGAATACAAACAACCACTAGAACTCATGGAAATGTGATATTTATTATTGAAATTTGCAAAAATGAGAATGATTCTAGATAATTTACACAGAGTAGATGTAGTTCATTAACTTATCAAAAAAACTGTGAAAAGAACGAATTTGCAGAACACGACGGCTTTTTATGTCCGATATATAAGCACTTATTGACTAGCTACAACCTTGAATAAACCCAGAAAGTCCAACTCAAAGCATATTACGAAGGTTTAAAAGTCCAACAACAAGGAACTTCATTCCAGACATAGGCTGTATAATTGAATTTGGCGTACTAAATGCAATAGAAAACAAAAACAAATAACCAGCAACAAGAAATTCACTGCTGTAGTTAAATCACAAGTAAATGTATCTTGTAATAGTTAAATATTGACCATTGGTTAAAAATGGAATCAAATCATCGAAGAATCGTTAGAAAAAATGAAAACTGAAATTAGTTAAATTGTATTACAGTCAAGTACCGATCAATGGTTGAAATGAAATATGTCAGGAAAACTGAAAAACTGACATTACTTTCCATGGTACTCAGTAATTTTATTGAATTGCTGAAATTTCAATACATAATACTTTTACATATGTAAGCATATATCTATAAACAAATTGAATGCATATGCATGAAAGATAGAGCAACCCAAAAGAATTTTTCTGTTTTTTCTTTTATGTACAGAGGGGAGAAGTTCAAGGTTAATCAACACTTCAATAGGATCAAAGAGTAAGAAGAATTAATAGTGGTTCATTGATATACAGTGAATAAAATGCTTATCAGGTTCTAGAATAATTTACTTACGTGAGTGTAAGCCTGCTCTCAAATAAAGACGAAGAGACTGAGAAATCATTACATGTCCTTTAGCCACAGATTCTGAAATTAAAAGACGAACAGTTGCCTGACGGTAACCCTTCCTGTCAGTTAGAGTTCCACTGTTAACTTCTTTTGCAGTTGACCCATTTTCCTTTCCTAAGGTATCTATTTCATTCTTTATGCTTTCCTTCGACGGCAATCGAGGAACTAGAGTAACCAGCTGGAGAGAATCGAATGAATAGTTTTTGGCTGTCTCTGGATGGATAAAGACAATAGAAGTGAGCACCACCCCCAGCTCAACCCCATTGACCTCATGTTTGTGAATCAATCTACTGTCTGGACGTTGGACACGCAACAGCGCCTTTACAACAGAATTCTCTTTATTTGAAGCTTGGAAGCAGGAATCTTCGTAAGAATCAACATTCCTTTTCCGTCTCTTTGGAGCAACTGCAACTTCAGTTCCTGGCATTAGTTGCACTGAAAACAATTTCATGGATCAGAGACTTTCATTTAACAAATTCACGATATAAATGCAACAACACAATGATGATATTTATGCGAGTGCACAAAATTATCCATCTCTACCATTACAAGGTTCATGTTCACAGCCAAAAGTAACTAATACCATTGTCATATCACCAAGACCTGGATTTAGAGGATCATAACATCAAGGAAACAAACAGACAAGGAAAAACTGTCCACTAATGTAACAATATTTCAATCTCACCAGTTTAAAACGAGTTTGATATATTAGAGTCAAAAAAAATTGCAGCTAAAACATGAGGACAGAACCAGAAGCAATTCTGATAAGCTATATGATGAAGGAAGATGATGCATACTCCAATCAGAAGGATGTGTTTAACCAACATAATAAATAAAAGAGCTCCAACTTAAAATCATTTGAAAAAATGATAGCAGAAGTCAGCAGAGAGAAACATTTCAAAACTGAAACGAGCATTTGCAGTTGCCGTAACGGCACATGTCTAGTAAAACTTCAACGGACATCTCCTCCTTTCAAATACAATGATTTTAATATGAAGCAAATATATCTAGAAATGCAGAAGAACCTGCATCAGTAATACAGTAAAATTTCGTGTCTAGCTTTCTTACGTGATTGGTCGTGGAAATTGTTGTTTCCAAATTTTATACAAGATCGGTTGAGTCATTCTAAGATTTTAGGGATTTGTTGTTTAACGGATATAATATATTTTTAGAAGTTATTATCAAGTTCTTGGCTTAATAGACTTTTTGTAGGTCATAATCCAGCCCATGAATAGCTTAAAAAATTTCTATTCAATGTAAGTCGGGCCATATTTGTCGACAACATTGACCGGTTCAAGTTTTAGAAGGTTTTAGCGAGTGCCTAAGGTTTCATAGCCCTGACCCATTCAAGTAAAAGGAGATCAAATTTACTGAATGGCTTTGTTGGTCAAATAATAAATGCTGAATTCTCTCTCTCTCTCTCTTTTTTTTTTTTTTTTTGGGGGGGGGGGGGGGGGGGGGGGGGGGAGGGTTACTGTCTCCACTGTTCAACTACAAAACTCTAAGGCCTGTGACTTTGGAATTATTGGTTCACAACCCCTACCTTAATTGTGTCGCTTTAATCCTCCACCCACCACTTTTCACTTGTAGTTTAGCCCTATAAAACTATATATATTAAGTTGTTCTGCATTTAATAAATTATATTAATGTTACAAATATAAGTCCCCACTGCCAATCCACTTTTCACTTATATAGTTTGTATACCCATTTGGTTATTGCTTTAATACCAGGTACTGTTCCATAAACATTAGTAGAACTAAGCAGAGCATGCATTTACCGGGGAAAAAAAAAAAAAACCAGCGCAGGCCAACATAGAGAGAAATGTTGCTTAAAAAAAAAAACAGAGAGAAAACTGGAAGTGGTAAATAATATCTTACCTACCGGTTTTTTTGGAATGGTCGAAACCACAACAAACATAATTATAGTGCGCCCATGCAACCATAAAGGAAGTCTCATTCCTTCATGAACTATTCTGACCTGTATTCATCAAAAGATGGAGTTTACTAATGTAAAATTTAGGCAGAAGTTGCGGTCCAAATGTGGAAAACAATTCACTCCATGGCTAAAAAGGATAGAAATATTTAACAGAAAATAGAGGAACAGATGAAGAGAAAGATATTATGAACTTCTTCAGAAGCATTGAGAAATAGGCTATCAGATTTACAGCAAAAAGTACAAGATTTTAGATGTACAATCAAGAAATATCAACCAATTCACAATTAACCCCACTTCAGACAATTAACAATTATATATAATAAAAATTACATGGTACAGTGGCAAAAGCCGAGGCAAGAAAGCATCAGAAAGTGTATTCAAGTCTGAGGGAGTCACTTCCTAGAATGAGGTAATCTGTGCTTCCAGCACCCTTGATTAATGATACTAACACTGCGTGATGCTTTTGGGACCGTTGTTTGGCACAATGGTAAAAACTAGGGTTGATTAGCATGAGAATGCAGGTTCGAGTCTTATAATAATCATTTTATGCAAAAAAATAAAAAAAATAAAACAAAAATTTAAAAATAGCAAAGGTCAAGTCTATCACCAGTTTACCCCTCCAGCACCTCGTAGATGAGACCAACACTTAATTCTTTCTTGGGACGAAATTGGCTCCAAATCCATGACAATATAACTTAACTCCATTTACTCTAGAGAATTCTGACATTAGGTTAGAGAATCGTAATATTAGACAAGTTAATTTGAGAAACAATAACTGATTGTCACAAAACATGCAAGATATATATATTATGACAAACAATACTTTTTTATTTAAATTATGGAAAAATACTTTTCAAATTTTTTGTACCTACATATATCGCCATGCCATCTATCCGTAGCTCATTTTTTTCGGAATTTGCCATTGGTGTGCCCATACCATGTCATGTTCGTATATCTATGCCCATGCTTCATTGAATCCCAGCAATTTATTGAATAAACAATAATAAAACCATCAACACTAATCACGAATTAAAAAAAATGCTCGAAAAGATGAGCCTTTTCCAATCAGTTGTTATTCTCTACTGGTAAATGGGACACTACCAGTACATATTTTATCATTAAGAATCTTGAAGCTGTAGCTTCTTTTTCTATTCCTTCCAACAATATCGGTCATATGCCTTTTCAAGGCATATTCTTTTGCTTATAGTTTAATAGCAATTTATTTCACATCATATCAGAATACAATTGTAGCAGAGAGCAGTGATAGTTTAATCATGATATGCATCCAGATAATGTCTAACTTTAGGTGAAACAAGGCTCAAAAGTAGTTAACTGCAGAGTGTCACGGAAATTTTCCAGTTTTCCACGCTATTGTATATCTACATTGTCGGGGATCAGTTTCACTTTAGATCCAAAAACGGACTGTTTGGGAGATTAATTATCTGAAACTACATAAAATGTTAATTAGGCACTGAAGACTCATCATCGAACTTCAGTCACTAGCCTTGACTTTGATGATGTGTTGGTAATGAAACGTCCAAATCCTTTCAAGTATAGATTGCAAAAGGAAATGAGCTTCATAAATGCCGTTTATAGAGTTCTTATTTCTTATGCATCATATTTGAAGAAATTCAGTCTGAGATAGTGAGATGTGGTCGGATTTTTGATGTTTCACATCTTAATGCATGGCATTCTACTGCGCTATCACATAATCTGCGTGAACTTTATATTTTCTACCATATCAAAGTCCACAATGGACGACAGTACAATGGGCTGCCCGGTGAGCTTTTTACTTGTGCAAGTCTGGTGGTACTGGAACTGTCCGGTATAATTGTTCTACATTTTCCTACTTTGGGTTGTCTACCGAGTCTTAAAATCCTTCGTATTCAATTACTTTAAGTTTTGGATGATGACTCAATTTATAAGCACTTTTCCAGCTGCCCTCTGCCCTCTGCTTCATGTCTAATGTCTAACTTTAGGAGAAACAATGCTCAAAAGTAGTCAACTGCAGAGTGTCAGGGAAATTTTCCAGTTTTCCACGCTACTGTATATCTACATTGTCAGGGATCAGGTTAACTTTAGATCCAAAAAAGGACTGTTTGGGAGATTAATTATCTGAAACTACATAACATGTTATTAGGCACTGACCAGACCCAAGGTATTATCATATGGGAAGAGCTAGTCAATAAAAATAACATAAATGGAACATTCAGTTCATGTTAATTGAGAACCTGCTTCAAAATAGCTGCCTCTGCATGCTCCGAATTAAGCTCCAAAACTTCCCAATCATCCTCGGTATGGGGTTCTACTGTCACTAGAGTAGCTTTCGGCACATTAGGAACAGCTCGTACTTGAACAGTAGTATTATCCGAAAGACCAACACATTCTGCAAATTGTTGATCAATCTACATAGGCAATCATGAAAGGAAATGTAAGAGAGATATATTAAAACAAGAATATCCGGTGCACAATTTGAAAAGGCATGTGAAAAAACCTAAAAGACTGACAAAATAACTTAATTGCCGATGGGAGAAGCAAGAAGAATCATTTCAAGAAACATTAAGGAAGCAATAAAATACAATTCATTCAAAAAAATTACTAGTATTTCGAGTATCATGTGATACACAGGACACTTGCATGCATGATACATACAATGCAGAGATTACATGCACCTTTTGATTGTAATTGTCAATTCCATTAATAAGCGATGTAAAACATTAGAGAGTGAAAATTGTGAACTTGGTTCACTCTTTTCTTCCATCCATCATTTTTTACCTTTTCCACCTATATTTGATTATAGAGAATCATACTCTTAGGTCAAAGACAAGCTTGGTATTAAAGCCATCTGGTATCAGCTTTAGATTTTAAAACAAGGATTCTTTGAACTTATACAAATGTTTCTACTCTATCCTATCTATTTTTTTTCCACAGAGTACTTAAAACATGTCGCAATTATTGTATCAATTATGCCCCCTTCTTTAAATAGACCTCAGTTCATATACTTTTCTTCCATAGTTACAACCACAAAGATAATTTCTCATTCAAGGCAAAGTTATCACGATTAGGATTTTAGAAGATGGAGTTTGAAACCTACAAATGCACTAACACGTCAAAATTAATATCATATAGAGCAACAAGATTACAGGCACGATATCAAGTGGGTCATCAATTTTTTTATTTTTTTGGAAACTATTAGTAATTAACTCAATCTCATTGAAAATAAAAATAAAAATAAAAAAAGGTCTCCCAGCACAAGCTATATGAAGCCATTATATTAAAGCCAATGTGAATCTGTTTTTGTTCCTATTTTGACCCAGGGAAAAAAAAAATTGACATGTTTTGTCTTGGGTTTTAGTCCTGTTGTAACCCAGTATATTGTACTAGGGTTAGTGGTGTAAGTATGGGAGAGACTGAAAGCCGAAATAGAGTGAGAGAGACAAAGGGTTGGGGGCTTGAGAACTTTCAAATCTCCTGTTGCCTTCTCATAGTGAAGTCTCTTCGCCAATCTTCACCGTGACCGTGGACGTAGGGTATGTAGCGTATACGTCAATTTTTGTGTATTGTGTGAGGCATGATTTATTTTTCAGTCGTTTTCATGATTGTCCTTGGAACAGCCAGTGCAAAAACTAAAAAGTGACATCTTGCTACGCGTACACAAAACAAATTGAATTCTCATATTTGACGCATCCTAAAAACTTCCATTTCAAAAATTCCGGCGACACTAGCAATTTCTACTCTATAAATCATATATGCAAACTCATTTATATAAACAATTCAACACGGGACTAGCTAGAATTTCAAAACTTCAGTGAATTCAAGTAAACAAATTCAAACGAACTTAAACTGAGAAATTAGTAAAATTACCTCAATAGCGGACGAATTTGATGCAGAGCCAGACCAAGCAACGTGCCAGAGATCATCCCCGTTGCGAGACCGAAGCTCGAGAGCGAGAAATGGAGGGAGAGAGCCAGAGTTCGTGGACTGTAGTGTTTGGATGAGAAGCAGTGGGAGAGAAACGAAACAGCTCTCTAAACCTCCGATTACTCTCACCTGAAACTCCATCCGAACTTCGCTTCGCTAGAGGATGGTGATTTTTGTTCTCTTGATATACTTATAGAGAGAGAAAGTGGGCAGTGTCCGAAAAAATGACGAGGGATGATGATCGAATTGACGCAACAGAAGGTTTTGTTACTCCCGAGGCGTTTCAATCTTCTAAGCGAGCTGTGGGAGGACCGGATCCTCTACGTTTCAGGTTCCCCTCCGCTTCTGTCCCGCTGCTCAATCGAGCGGCGGACAGAGCGCCACCTAGGATCCGGTTCTCAAATCTCACTCAACCTGTGCGGTTAGTTCTAATGAGCAGATTTTTTTTTTTTACTAAAAAAATAATTTTGTAATATTTCAAATTTTGATTTGTATTTACTTGTCATATATTTTGACGGGATATGAAACGAAAACTTATTATATATTTATTCTTAAATTTTTTTTTTGGTAAATTTCTTTATTTTTAACTTGATAAAAAATGACCAATATTATTGTTATTGTAAGTAAAGATGAAACTCTAATTTATTGTACGTTAATTATTAAATTGATAATACATTTTTTTTTTTTTTGGCGAACTTGATAATACAATAAAGCATAATTTACATTACAACCGCCTCATATGATATTTGATATGGCACCAATTACCCAAGTTTTTGTTGTTAATCCAATAATACATTGACCATTTCTATTAAACATTTGATGAGATATAACATCAATAATTACATTTTAAATTGGAATATAAGTTGCACAAAATTAACACTTTCATTTTTTACACGTTTAAATTTAAAATAAATATGTACTATTTTATCATTGTGTCATGTGACTCGTGTTTTTATTATTCATACTATCTTTGAATAAGTAATTATTATTTTTTTATTTATTTGTCTTTGAAGGCAAGTAAATAGCTTATAAAAAGCATAATCAGTATACTAACTCATAGGGACCCAATTCAACTAATAATGACCTAAAATATATAAAATAAGAAAATAAAGACACAAAAATATAAAAAGAAATTTATAAATGTAAAATATAAGAGAAAATGATACGCACACTACTTTTGTACTTTTGCGCTCAACCATCGTAACTAATGTAAAAGCACTACTGTAATATGTATGCAAATCGTGTTTAGTACACTACTATGCCCCTTTAGCTCTTATAGGGAACTTGGAGTCTCTCCATTCCACAACATCGTAATTTGAAATGATAAGATCTTGATTCTCTTGTATGCGTCTATTTAATAGACAAGGACTTATTTTGAGAAAATGACCCCAATGGACAGCTTTAGAGTTTATCTTGATATTTCAATTTTGATACAATTTCAGAGAAAAACCCTAAGACTATTTCCGAACCAAGTTTGTTTTCTACAGGGGCGGAGCTTCCTGTGAACTAACCTGGGCTATAACCCAGGTCCAAAAAAAAAAAATTTAGTACTAATATTTCCTATTAGCCATAGCCCAACCCAGGCAAGCTGCCTAATCCATAATAAAACATAAATGATAAATGGTCCAACTCAGAAAACAAGTCTACAAACAAATTAGAACTAGAAAATTGAAGAAGACCTAGGAGCTATTTGGCATGATTTGGCATTATTTTTTGTGTTTTGTTTTCAAAATTTAGACCCTAAAGCAACAATTTTCTAAAACCTTGCATTTGTGCCCTCTCGTGCTTTGACTTAGTATCTCTCTCCAGGTTATTATATCTCTTTTTAAAATCTGGTACTGTGATTTATTATTATTATTATTGTCTGAAAATTTTGGATATCGGTTTCTTTACTTTAGGTTAAATTTTGATTGTTTTATATTGAATCATGTTGTTGGATATGAGTTTCTTCATATTTGGATTTCTCAAAAGAACTAATAATTTTTTTCCCCAGTTAATCATCCTCTTTGGTTGAATTTTTTTTTTTTTTCCAATAAATCCTTTGCTTGAATTTTTTCTTTAGCCCCCCACTTTCAAATCTTGGCTCCACCCCTGGTTTTCTACACTCAATAGGAAAGAAAAATAATTTAAATAGAGATAGAATAATGGATGGAGGGACATTTTTAAACAAGAGATTATGTCATTTTTTAAAAAAAAAAATTCAGTTGAATAGAAGAGAAGAAAATAAGTTCACAATTTAAGGAATTCTTTGTGATAGAAAAGAAGAAAGGGTTTTAATTTAAGATAGTAATAATTTACTGTGTTTATATGATTTAGATATAATATCATCACTAATTTTTTCTTCTTCTTCCATCCATATTTGTAGGGATAAAAATTTGTAAAGAAATAAAGATTATTTATTCTTCCTACTATCATTTATCTCTTTATCTCCACTTTACCGAACAAATAAAAATTTGTTCCTTGAAAGATTACCCATTCCTCTCATTATCATTTATCTCTTTATTTCCTCTCTTATCAACAAATAAATTTTGTTTCTTCTTTTCAACAAATAAAATTTGTTTCTTCTTTTCTATCTTCCTTGCACGCATTTTCTTTCCTACCTACTAACGAAAGCATAACGTAATGGTGTAAGTATGTAACACCTGCCCTATACATGAACACTGTGAGGATGGTTAGGCGTTACAAGGGTACTTGTCCCACAACGGATTCAGATGGGAAGTGAAAATAGTGTAATGGGTTACTCAATAATTTAACTTTTTGGGTAGATGGTCAAGTACCCACCCGTTATAGTTGGTATCAAAATTAGAGACTCAATTATTGATTCAGTGTCATGCCAAACACCTCGCCCCGATGTGTTTAGGGTGAGCCTACCCGGGTAGGCAGGATGACCCAATCGCAACGAGGGCGTTGCGGTTAGAATAAGGGAGAATGTTACAAGGGGTACTTGTCCCACATCGAATCCAGATGGAAAGTGAAATTGGTATAAATGAATGAGTATGTAACTTAAGCTTTTAGATAAATAAGCAAGTCCAAATCATGGAGCCACTTTTAAACCCATTAAAAAGCGAAGCATAAATAGTGTTATGACCTGCTTCTGGTCCAACTTCAAATTGGCTCAATCTGTCTAGTCAAGCCCAGATTTCATTGGACTATAACTCTTATGCTATGTTAGGTTAGGAGGCTATATTCAAGTTTCAATTGAGACAACCTTACAAAATTAGATAGCAACATAAACTCAATTAGCTGTCTTAAATTAATCAACATATACGTATGTAAATGAATAAATAATTTAAAAAACGAAAAGAAAAGAGGAGAAGACAAATATGGATGGATACAGTTATAAATGAGATGATGACATATACTTCGATCAGAATTGTAGTATTTGGACAAAACCGAATTTATTTTATCAAATCCAAATTGCTTGGATAAGATTTTGTTAAGTTGGATGGTTAACTTGTGATATGAATGAAATGTTTTTATTTATTTATTTATTGACACGTCAAATAGAAATAATAATGTTCATTTGATTGGAGCAATAAAAATGACACATTGATTTAGAGAAGAATATCCTCCCCTACCCTACTAACCTCTCATTTTAAAATATATATATCATACTATATTTAAATTAAAGTCAATTGATAACCAATGTCAGATTCAGGAATTTTTTTGAGGGGCATCGTCAAAGAATAAATAAAAAAAAAAATTTAGACAAATTTGAAAAAAAATATTGTGAAGTGGGCCATTTAAAAAATTGAGTGGGGACTTTTTTTAAATTTTAATTAAAATTATAAGTAATAATGTGAATTAAACATTTACTTCATTTTTTTTTTCTCTTTTTACAAGAAAAAAAGTATTAAATATTAAATCAATAGATATAGACGGTCAAAATTTGATAGTCCAATATTTACGGAAATCTACATAACAATCCAAACATTGCAACATTTAATTCAATTGAAACTTGTCATTGCTATGACTTCAACAAAATATGGAATCATCAATAATATATTAATAAATCATATTTCCTAGTTTAATGGGCCTAAAAATGAATCTTGTTTTATAAAACTAAAACTGTGGTGTGAGCCTGTGATTAGTTTTATCATATTGTAAGTCAACTTTAGATCCATAATAATATTACTTATTTTCTTGTCGCATCTAGAGCTATTACAGTCTATAAAATTAAAATATCAAAAAATAATACCCACTAAACAAAATAAATAAAATTAACTGAATATTCGTGGGACCCTCATAAAATGATGTAAAATGGACTGTTACCAACCAGATGGAGATGGTTGTAAATTGGGCCAATGAGGACGCACTCATTGACCAATAAAATTTAAGAATTAAAACACGCACAGTTACTCATGACTCATGAGTCATGACCTGTGTAACACGGTGGTTCAACGGTGCTTAAATGCCATAAATGATGGGTTAGAATTTTTAAGGTCAAGTTGGAAATTAAGTCTGGCTCGGACGTGCCTTGCAAGTTGAGCATAGACTTGGACCAAGTCTTATATTCTTATATATATACATACATTATATATATATAAATAGATAGATAAGAATATCCACAGTATTTAATGTCTATATCCATTTGATTACTACGTATTGGGGTGAGAGGAAGAGGACGAGAGTTGTTCAGTACCATGTACTTGATCTTGTTTAATTGATTGGCTGGTGTTTATGATAGTAATTATATATCCCCACATTAGGTACAAACTACAAAGTAATTTTACATTAATATATAGCACATTTTTAACTATAAATTGAATTATAAAAAATATTTCACCAAATAAATGGTGTCTAAATAAACAAATTAAGCCTGAACTTATTTTTTAATTTTTTTTTGTTTTATGCGTGAGCTCTCCCTTACATTTTAACAAAATTTAACAAACTTAACCTTTTATTATTATAATATTTCTTTTTGGTCACCAGAGAAGTACACTCAATCACAAATGTTTTAATAACTTAGTGGATTTTTGGTAAATTTTGGAATACCAAATTTTGACTTTTTGTATTTACTAATATAATCTCTAACACTTCTTATCTTAAAAATAAAATAATAATGCATTCAATGGATCAACCCGAATCATTTCTTATGCATTTTAGATTTACCATCCTATGAATTTTAAGTCGAGTAACAAATTATATTATATGCCAGGTTTAAACCAGGAAAAATCTTTATTAACCTAAACTCAAGGAGGAAATCTAACTTAAGAGCTATATTAACAAATTTGTTATCTGAAAATATAAAATTATTATAAAAAAATTATATCAAGAATGTTCTATATTTTTGGGTTGAATCCAATATCCATGAACGGATTCAAGTCGTCATAAAAATTGATGCCACGAGAAGAAGTCTTGTGTTGCCCACCAAATGACGTATTAAAGAACTTTTTTCTTTTTATTTTTGTCTTTTTCTATCTTTATTCCTCATACGTCTCATTCTTAATCAACACTTTTCATGACTTGAGGTTAATAATAATATTTTATTTATTTATTTTATTATTATTATGTGTTCACATAGCAATACATTTGACCCAGCCAGAGCTAGGTATTAATCCGTCATTCATGATAAGCTTAAGGACAAATTTGACAATTATAAAATAAAAACATTATATAATTTTCTTGAAAAGATACTTATATTATAAAATACATAACTTATGAATATATATATATATATATATATTATTAAATACATTATTGTTTCTTTCTAACACATATATTTTTGTATTCTTGCTTAGATAGAAAGATAAAGTTTATTGTGAGGCGGAACTCTTAGTTTTTGTTGCGAGCTCTTTCATATATATATATATATATATATATATTTTGACATACTTTCTAACTATATTTCTCCAATTCACTAAACCACAACTATTGAATAATTATTATTCAATTGATCGACTTAGAAGGCATTACACAAAGTCAAGCAATACGGATTAATAAATGGTTATAAGGTAAAACAAAAGCAAATTAAAATACATTAAAGCTCTATTTGTTTAGATGTATATTTGTCAAAAATATTTTTTATTTTTTTATGTTTGATTGTCATAAAATGAATTTTTTAAAAAAATTTAGCAAGTTATTTTACAAGTCCCGCTCGACTGATTCAATTTCAACCTCGACTTAAATATTTGTCAAATGCTAAAAAATTAAAACAAAAAATATAGATTTTACTGAAAAAAATATATGGTTTTTTTAAAAGTTACCTAAAACAAAAACATATGCGTTGAATAAACAAATTTTAATTTAAAAATATAAATTGAATTTTCTTCAATTCTAATTAATAAACATGATACCGTCAAACACATCATTATTGTGATTAAATTTTGATCTTCACAATTCTTATGCTACTCTTATTTCAAACCATGCATCAAGCATATTTCTTGCGATGGCACATGATCATGTACAAGAATAGAGAACTCATAGTTAAAGTAAATCTGTATAATGTATAAACTAGTATAAAGTAACACACCTCTATGTATACATACATACATACACACACACACATATATATATATTCTCTCTCTCTCAATATAAATATATACATATATATGCTTTATTGCTCCTCAAAGTTTCAAAATTGTAAGTTGGAAGTTCCATTCGTGGGTAGTTCCGCTGACTCCGTCCACCACCCTCTCCCAGTCGTTTCCTTTACGTAAAATTACATAGAAAGGTAGACGAGAAGCAAAAGTCTCCTTTCCCCCCCCCCCCCCCCCCCCCCTCTCTCTCTCTCTCTAAAAGTCTTTCTTGACTTTCTCTCTCTAGAGAGCAATGCAGCAGGTAGTTAACTTGCACCTCCCTCTCCTATCCACCTGGAGACCGTTTATCTAGCCTCTTCCCACACTTGTCACCCCCCATCTCTCTCTCTCTCTCTCTCTCTCTCTCTCTCCCCTTTACACCCCCAAAATCAGATTCAGAGCTGAATCTGATTTCTCCGATCATGACTAATCATATGGCTATTTTTAGACACTCGAACTTAGCTTCTTTGATTCTGTTATCGATTGTGGTGAGCTGTGTGTATGGTAGGTTCGTGGTGGAGAAGAGCAGTATCAGAGTCTTGTCTCCCTATAGTCTTCGGGCGAAGCATGACAGTGCTATTGGGAACTTCGGAGTGCCTGAGTATGGAGGGTCAATGGTTGGGGTTGTTGTCTATCCCGAAAAGGGCTCTAAAGGGTGCAATCCATTTGAGGGTGATAAGCCCTTCAAGTCAAAGTCTTCTCGTCCCAATATTGTTGTTCTCGATCGCGGAGGTAAATTACACACACACATATATATACATATATGCTATATATCAATATATATATATATATGTTTGTATGATGTCAAGTATATGATTGTCATAGCTTCATAGTTCATAATTTGATTGAGGGGTGGTTTTTTTTTCTTGTTTTGTGTTTGAATTGGTCTTAAATTAACATGCAGTTCCAGAAATGGGTTGTTGTTGTGTGTGTAACACACACACACACACACACACATACGCACACATATATTTTTGTTTTAATTGATCCTAGTGTATGATTATTGGCATGTCTAAGATGTTAGATATGTCAATTGGTGGGTATTTATTATCTTATGGGATTGGTTTTTGGATATTTTGATTGACAACTAGATGTGGCTCCTCTCTTTTTTTGCTCTGTTTTAGCTTGTGTGTGTGTGTGTGTATATTTGTTTGTTTTAATTGATCCTATATGATTACTGGCTTGCATACGATGTGTCAGTTGGTGGGTTTTCATTAACCTATGGGATTGGTTTTTAGATATTTTGATTGACAACTAGATTTAGCTCCTCTGTTTTTTTGCTCTGGTCCCATTCCGCTTGAGATCATTTAGTTTATGCTAGACCTAGATATATCTTATGTGAATATTATAGGTTGTAATTGTCTCTGCCTTTTTGTTGTTTCTTTGATCTATACTATTTGGATGATTGCTTGCAATAACTGTGCTATTTATGTTAAAAGATGTTTGTTTTTTTTGTTTTTTTTTAAGATAACCTTATACTTTTGTCCTTTTGTTTGTGTGTAAATATGTCAGATTGGCCATCAATCAGTTCATTAGCTATTTGTTTGAGGCCTTGCTAGCTATATCTCATGTTCATCTATCTTTCGCGCCCAATAAATGTATTCTTTTCTGTTCCTTTCTTTCCTATTGTTAAAAATTCTTCCATCCCAAAACCTTTTCCAAATAAGGTTTTTGAGTGTCACTTTTTCTGTGTGTTGTGAAATCGCCTTAAGGTTGTAGCTGCAGTTTCGGCCTATCTTTTCCTCTTTCTATTTTTTTTTTTTCTTTTTTAATATTTTTGTTGGACAAAATGCAGGATTAATTTAATCTTCTTTGATTTTCCTCTTTGTTTTTCCATTTGGATTATTTTAGAGAGGCTTTTACAGTAATTTATATTCATCCTCGTCGCTCTTTCATCTCACATATTCATCGCTCAAGTAGTCAATAGACTGCTAGAGTGGTCTCTTATGTTCTTGGAATTTTAGAATCATTGCAATTGGTAATCTTCCATGGCCCCTAATTGATAATAAAACAGGTTTTAACTAGTCTGACCAATTTTAATTAAGGCTGTGTTTGGCGGCATAGAATTGGAGTCGGTGGAATTGGAGAAAATTTTGGTTCAATTTTCTAAATTATTATTTTTTTTTCCAATTCCACCAATTCCAATTCCAAAGCTCTAATTCCATGCCCGCCAAACATAGCCTAAGAAAATTTCTTGAAGAATATCACACAAAGTTACATAACATGTTTTCTACAATTAAGTTTTAACTTCAAGCAGTAAGGGATAAAAATCAGCTTGCATAGTGAGTTAGCAAATGGCAACATGACTTTTCTATCAGAAAATGATTATGGTATAATACAATTGAGCCTTCCTGACAAATTTAATTCATTAGATATATTTTAATCACTTTTTTTTTTTTTTGTCTTGCAATCCTAGATTGCTACTTTGCCTTGAAAGTATGGAATGCGCAACAGGCAGGTGCTGCAGCAGTTTTGGTTGCCGATAGCATAGATGAGCCTCTAATAACAATGGATTCTCCCGAAGAGAGTTCTGATGCAGATGGATATATAGATAAGATTGGAATCCCATCAGCTTTAATAGAACGATCGTTTGGTGAAGCCTTGAAGACTGCGTTGAAGAAAAGTGAAGACGTCGTGATAAAACTAGACTGGAGAGAGTCAATGCCACACCCCGACGAGAGGGTTGAGTATGAGTTCTGGACAAACAGCAATGATGAGTGCGGACTTCGTTGTGATGAGCAGATGGATTTTGTTAAGAATTTCAAGGGACACGCTCAAATTCTTGAGAGGGGTGGTTACGCGCAATTCACACCACACTATATAACTTGGTATTGTCCTCTGGCTTTCATCCTCAGCAGTCAATGCAAGTCTCAATGCATAAACAACGGGAGATATTGTGCTCCTGATCCGGAGCAGAACTTTGGAGAGGGGTATCAAGGGAAAGATGTGGTGTTTGAGAACTTGAGGCAACTTTGCGTTCATAGAGTTGCCAATGAGAGCAACCGGTCTTGGCTTTGGTGGGATTATGTGACAGATTTTCATGTAAGGTGTTCCATGAAGGAAAAGAGATATAGCACAGAATGTGCTGACGATGTCATGAAATCACTTGGTAAGTGCTACCTCAAGGCCTCATTGTGCAGAGAATTGAGTTTTTATTTTGTCATTTCCGATATCTACTTTTTAAGTATTTAATCAATTCTGATCCACCAGATCTGCCAATTGAGAAGATAAAGAACTGCATGGGTGATAAAGATGCCGATGTAGAGAATCAAGTACTAAAAGAGGAGCAAGAACTCCAGGTTCATAGTTCCCCTGCATTTCATTTGTGCCATTAGTTTGAAGTTCACAATTGTCTTTTCGTAGTTAGCACTTCATAAATCATAGAGAGACTTATGCATCTGTAGTTTGTTAGCGTTAAGATGGATTTACTTGAATTACTTCAGTTTTTGCATTGCTTCATCTTATTGATTCAATACTAAAATTTTGAAATGTAGGTTGGCCGAGGATCACGTGGTGATGTTACCATCTTGCCAACATTGGTTGTCAATAACGTTCAATACCGAGGTTTGTTATATAATGCACTTTATGGTATATTAGATGATTATGCTATAATTCTTTCTCTCAAATCATAGTTTAACTTTCATTACCTTTGCATGATATATTGGGAAAATCTGACGACCACGCATATTTCATGATCGTATGAAGCTATATTGAGAGGAGAGGTGGAGAGATTTTAACCTAATATTTCAATGCTATTCGGTGTGGATTTTTAAGTTGAGGTCCAAATGCTAGAACTCTTAAAGTTCCTGAGTTTGGAAACTTGCATTGCTGCTTGCCACTGGGTACTATTTTGCCAGTTTTTTCAACACCCTTTTCTTGGTCGTTGATTTTCTTTTACTTATAGTACTATAAAAATCATGGTCTGCATGATGTAAAAGAAATCAATTGGTTAGCAATGAAAAAAATAGCATTTCTCTTATTAATGATTCAAACTGATTGATGGAAATAACTATCATTGTCAACTGGACTCCCCTATATGAGTAACGGAATGTTGGCATGTGCCTGACTCATTTCATTTCCGAGTTATAGTCCTTAAGGTAGATTCTGTTTGCTTACTTTTCTTCCAGTGATTCAACTTCTTGTTTTTTTCTCACTTCAACTTCGTAAATTCTTTTACGTACATAATCCATTCACCACTGTTTTTCATCTCTCAAGTTCTCCCCACCTTTTAGCCTCTGATTATAATTTGCTTATCAACTAGTTATTTGGATTGATCTCATTTGCTATTGCTCATAGACAATATCAAATATGATTTCTTTTATATCAAAGCATCTATTACCTGTACCTATTGGGGTTCTAAAGTTATATTGTTGTCCTTTATGAAGGAAAACTTGAGAGGACTGCCGTGCTGAAAGCGATATGCGCTGGATTTAAGGAGTCTACCGAACCTCGAATTTGTCTTAGTGGAGGTTTGATGCTACTACATTGTTTTTTAGTCTGTACTTATAAATTCCGACTAATTCTTGAAGTATGGGAAATGAACATATATCCTTTCTTATTGTCAATCTGATGATTGTTACAGATCTTGAGACCAATCAATGTCTTGAAAGAAATGGTGGCTGTTGGCAGGACACAAAGTCTAATATAACTGCTTGCAAGGTATGATGAAAAGAGTATACTACTTATAAAATAATGACTCTCATAAAATATGATTTATAAGCTTTTGAAAGTGTTTCTAGAATTGGTCGTTTATTACTCACCGTGATCTTGTCTTTCTTTAGGACACATTTAGGGGAAGAATTTGCCAATGCCCTTCGGTAAATGGTGTTCAATACAACGGGGATGGTTATATATCTTGTCAAGGTACATTTTTTCCATTAAAAAAAGAAAAAAAGGACGATTTTGGCTTTTGAAATCATAGCAATGATGTCGAATGTATGTTCCTTTTTGAGTTCTTCTCGGACCTCTCTATCTGCATCGCTCAAATTTTTTTACTCTAATTCACATGGAAAATGTTTGATTCAGTGTTGCGAATACTATTGAATGTAGAACCTTATCCAGTTTCTATGAAGTATTGCATAAGTTCGGTCTTCTATCATTTATTTTTCAAATGCAGCTGTGGAATCCAATGATTGTTAGTTACATAAGAGAATTTGTAAGATGCAAATAACAAAAAAATAATAATAATACTAAAGAAAGTAACTTAATTACACTTCTAACTTATATATAAAAAGGAAAAAAATAGAAAATAAGCTAAATATTCAATGTATGGAATGTGATATAGAAGAAAAGGAATCATGACTAAATCTGAATATTGGCCTAGTAACTTCTCTGAGTGTGCTTATAAACTGTAAGGAATTAGGCAGACAAACAGAATAATGTAGCTCTCATATCATGCTAACAGTCGGTTACTCTTATCGCACACGGCGAGACTAAACAGATTGCAAACTTGTATGGATAAATAAAATGGCATAACAAGTGCAGATAAAGAGACTTGAATCCATGACCGCTTAGAACGGAACTCTTTTCATGTTAGATTAAGAACTACTTCCAAATTTTAAGCCATTAGAGAGTTTACATAATATCTAATTTAAAAAGTTTAATTTTAATTTCTTTGAACTTCTAAAAGTTTTAATATCAATTATTTAGTTCCATATAGATAAAGAGAGTGGCATATTGAGCCTGCATTGAGCGTCATGAATACAATTGATAATTGCTAACCTCTTGATTTTAATATTAGTGGGTTTCAAGATTTAGACTTACCTAATATTTGGTGGATATAAAAGGGTTGTCAAGTCAATTTATTAGGTGCCAGCTTTTATTATTCATGTTAACAATTAAGGTGTTAGTAGGTTGAGTCGATGTAGAAATTTCTCCAAACTAATTCAACCTGTATTTTCTTTTCATTAGGTTTACCAAAACCTGGCCCAATGCCTCCTTTATATATATGTATATGTATATATAAATATATATTGAGTTGGAGGTGAATTTAACCAGTGTCACTACCATCATTTGAAAAGTTAAAACACGAGGGATAGGCGAATGAGAGAGTGATGATTATGAAGTCATGATCCATTCTGAAACAGTTAGCAAAAATGAGCTTAATTCTTACGTAGTTATGGTTGATATAGTGTAGCACTGGTTAAGATATTCCCCATTTTTTCAGAAAGTCCACAGGGATAATCTAACCTCAAAATCATTTCCAATAGTTTGAAACCAAAAAAGGTAAAAAGCAAAGGCACACACTTCCATTATGTTTGTTTAGAATAGATTAACATGTATTCAACCTAGGATGCAATCTCTTTTCAAGTTTGCAACTTTAGTAGGAAATAATAAAATACTAGCTAAAGAAAGATGGAAACCATCTAAATGATGTCCTTATCTTGGAACATTGATTTTTAATTTCCTCTTCTAATCAATACAGAATTTTGTTCTGTATTATCTCATAGTATACTTAACTTCCCGAATCCAATATACATTCTGCTTTGCTCAAGGAGAAAGCAATGTAAACTATATATATATATATATATATACACGCATATATATTGAGTGAAGGGCAGAACCTAGTGATTCCATTCACTTGACTGTCTACTTTGTAACTTTAATCTTGACCACAATGTATTTCCCTAAATTTATAGTGTGACGTTGCAAGATCACATTCATGTTTCATGTTTCAACGATGAGAATTCTAGTTTGTTTACGCTGTTTCTGGAGTTATACCAATTACTGCCCTTGTCTAGTACAATTTTAATTCCATACCTCTAGCTACTTAACCATTTTTTATTTTTTTTTATTTTGACAGCTGTGGGACCTGGTAGGTGTGCAATAAACAATGGCAATTGCTGGTCACAAACTAAGGATGGGAAAACATTTTCTGCTTGCTCAGTTCAGTGATGTTATCCCTTTTATTTCATTCTTATTGATGGTTTTTATTTTATTTCTTGCACTTATTTTAAACCTCAAAACTCTGCATTTTTATTGATCCCTATCTTGCTACATTTTTTTTTTCCGAAACAAAATAGGAATCCGACCTCTCAGGCTGTCGTTGTCCAGCCGGCTTTAGCGGGGATGGTCATAATAAATGTGAAGGTGCTCTTCTATGCTACCACTGGGCTTTTCTGATAGCAGTATACAACGTTTTATACGTGCAAGTTATTAGATGTTCTAAATCCTAATCCATAATTTTATTTTTCCTTCTGTTTATGCCCCAGATATTGATGAATGCAAGGAACGTCTAGCTTGCAAGTGCGATGGATGTACCTGTAAGGACACATGGGGTGGATATGACTGCAAGTGTAGCGGGAACAAATTGTACATTGCGGAGCAAGACGCATGTATTGGTAAGAAAGGGAATTTCAGTTTTAATACGAATGAATGAATTTTCAGAAATTTTTGCTTCTAGTTATAGTGCACAAAATTTGTTATCAAACACATGTGGTATATTGTTACTTTGGTTTTAAGTATGTCTTCTCTGTGTACATTTCATGTGTATAGGAAGTTGAGCCTTAAGTTTTTGCCTCTAGATTGGTGATTTCTTAGGCAAGATCTCATCTGCTAAAATTAATATACACATTTATCTAGAGTCAAACTATTAAATAAGATGCAAACTGGCTTTTATTTTATTTTATTTTACTTTATGTTTGAGAGCATCTGCTAGTTGTTGATTATACCCCCAAATGCTTCACTAATTCAATGATTCGGGACCACAACTTGTTGCGATGCACATTCATAAAGATTTGGGTTTGAAGTATATTTCTAGACCATGATTAATATTATTAAATCAAATTCTAGACAATTTGAAATGAAGGGGGACTAACATGGATAGAAAATGATTCCAAGTTGTTTGCAGCATTTCAATAAGTTCATCTATGGTTTTATGATGTTACTTATATTTGGAGTTTCATTTTAGTAATACTGTGCGAGGCAAGAAATTCCAACCATTTGGGACTATATGATCATATTTTCCATTCCGATCCATCTAAGGCCATAATGTTTTATTTTTTAAACTTTTTAAATTAAGATCGTTTCAAAATTTCGAAAATGGCAAATTATTAGTTTGGCAATGAGGTCAGTTCATCCTAGATTATCTATTTGAAACTCCATTCTTAATGTTTTGATTGTAACATTTTAGTCAATGAGTCCTGAAGATTCAACTCTGCTAAATCTTGGTATTATCCATATTGATCCATCTAAGTCCTTTGCCTTGATCATTCTCAGATGATACATGTCACGCAAGCGTATTATAACTGGTACTTCCTCTTCATAAATTCTTAGAAGAAGCCTTAGCAGTTGTGTTTATCCATTGTGCAGAAAGAAATGGATCGAAATTCGGATGGTTTCTTGCCTTCTTGGTTTTAGCAGCTGTAGCAGGTGCTGGTCTAGCTGGTTATATATTCTACAAGTATAGGCTCCGGGTATGTCTAATGAGTATTCATGAACAAAATGTTGTGTTCATCCTAGTTTATTTCTGTATTTCACTATTAAAAACATGTTTATCTAAAATATTAATTCTAATGCAGTCTTACATGGACACCGAGATTATGGCTATCATGTCACAATACATGCCACTTGACAACAATCACAACAATCAAGTTGTCCACCATGATTCCGAACCTCTACGACAAGGTTCATCTGTTTGAGGAAGGTAGCTTACTACTATCTTGGTTAGAGTTATTTTTTCTTCGGAGTCGTGATACTGAGTCTGACAGTTTGACACTTTTTACGTGAGTGGAGGCTCGACGTCATGATGACATCAGCAAACGTCATCATGATGTTAGCCTCCACTCACGTAAAAACAATCGGATTAATCTGACTATCGGATTACATATCATTTTCATCTTTTTTTCTTGCGTCTTTTCATGACAACTTATATTTGGTTATTTTTGCAGAAGTAGAAGCTGAATTGATCAGGCTAAACGAAAAGCTTCCACGAAAGGGATGGATTATGCTCGTTACAACATTTAGATCCATTCGACAAAATCAGTGGAATTATCATTTTAGGATGAATGTGAATTATCCATATACAGGACATTTCTTCATGGAATCCTCTTGCTCTATGTAAATAAAGATATTGAGATGTAAATGGAGGCCTAGTTAATGTAGTTAATGTAAGGATGTGATTATGAGGATTCATATATTTGATGAATACACATACATTAGAGAAGAGGAGGGAATGTGTTAAATTAAAATGCTACTATCCCCAAGTACATGGTTGTTAATTCATTCTGTCAATTTGACAGATAATAAATGATGAGGTTTTTGCTAAATCTTGGGAATTCTTATGCATTTGCTTGATGCTTTTGTATTGGTGGGAGATCTAACCAAGAACCTCTTTTAGTATCATTTTTCTTGTATATTAGCTGAATCATTACCAAGATTAGGTTAATTCTTCGGCACAAGAATAATTGAAACCTGACTCCCCAACTACACTAAGCCCCTAGAGTAGTCAGAGCAGTTGGGTTTCACAACAAAGTTCAAACAACACATCTAGGGCAAGTACTTGTGCAAATAATGTCAAAAAGTTAAGTTTGTACCCGGTGATCCCATCATTGTGGACAACTAATTTGTGTAAAATAATATTGAAAGTTAGGATCGTACCCCTACCCATCTTGTATCAATCCATGTGAATTACGAAAAAATGTTCTGAGTTAAATCATTTTAAACATGAAGAGACTACAAATACTAGCAATTACGAGAAACAAATCACTATAAACAAGTCAACAACATGAAAATACAAGAGAATTAGCCATTGCAAGTGGGTTACAAGCTACAGAAACTAGGGTTTGTTAAAATTGATATCGGCAAATAATGTCTTCATACGTATAGCAGATGGACTTCCATGTCCAAATGTTGTGTAGAAAACAATTGAGCAAATGTAGCCATCAGGGACACTAATTCTTGCAGGGACTAGTAGTTACGGGCATGCCAAATTGTGTATATCAACAAATAGAAATCACATTGCATCTAAAAATGAACTGAATCGCCAATAAGCGTGAGATTGGATCAATTTCACTCATTTCCTTAGACCATGTTTTTGGACTAATCCTCACCCAGATTTCAAGGAAATACAAATATTAATTCTTGATCACAGCACTCGATTCTGATCAAATTTCAATATTCCACAATTTAATATGAAATACAAATGTGCTAAACTGAAACACGGATACCACTATTCAGAGCTAAATTCAAGAATAATATAACAAATAGACAGCCAACCAGCTCACGAAATGAAGCTCAAAAACGGAGCCAATTCAATTAATGGTAACAACCTGTATTTCATGTCATACGCATTATCAGCAAGCTAACAATAATTCTCCAATTTCATTTTAGGCACAGCATGTAAGACTCATAGCATTGTTACAACTCAAACACAACTTCATCCCACAATACGCAGAAGAAACAAAAGAGAACTGAAAATTCTCTACCATTCTACTGGAAAGAAAAATTTGTTCAAAATGACCTCTAACCTGAAGAAAAAGCGACAATGAACACACTAACCACACACATTCATTGCCTTTGGGCCAAATTTGAGGAGAAAACTGAGAGACATTGCGACACTACAGTAAAGCACCCAACCAGCATCACTTTAGCTCACCTCAGATAGATTTACCCTTCATGTATCTGTTTGCTTGCTTCATTTTCCTGTTCTTATCTTCCTCACTTTTCTCCCCAACCAAATGGAGAAGAATCATCAAGAGGAAAATGAACTAACGAAATGTAAATGAAAACTTTTACGTCAAGAAAATATGGACATCGTGAAAGCTTTTCAACTCATTACACTATATTAACTTACATTTCGCACGGAAGGAAGGCTTGTGAACATCTTCGGAGCTCCCAACATGGAAAAATGGGACCCCCTTAAAATAATTTAGGAAGATATATAGATATTAAAAGAACACACGAAATATACAACTCCACAGGTTGCAAAACACTAATCTGCAATTCTTCCAAACTTAACACTGCCTTCATCCAAGATGGTCACGTGTTTCCTTTTCTTGGATAACTTGGCTGAATTTTGATATCCATTTTGCTCATCAGTAAACTGAGCAGCCGTTCGAGCTCTTAATTCTTCCAAGCTTTCACCTTCCTTGGCTCTCTCCAGAACCTGAAATTCAAGTCGTCAGTTATGGCTGCCTTTCTATGGTTTGTAGGCACATGTACATGTTTAAGAGAATTTGTAGAAGACATACCAAATGACGACCATACAAATGGGTATTTGAAAGAGTCTGAAGCGCATTCTGGGCCTCTTGCTTTGTAACATACTCCACAAAAGCAAAGCCTCTATGGTTCCCAAACCTCATTGGCAGCCTTAAGCTCTTAATCTGCACGATACCAGGAAGCTTAGTAGCCAACTAGTGAAAGAAACTGAACTAACTCTATAGCCACCGAGATATATAAGCACACGTAACAAAATGGTAACATTGTATCTTGTTCCTAGAAAAATTAAGTGCCAAATCTAAGTTCCATTGAGGAAGTTGAGGAAATTAGTATAACAGGGAGAATCCGAATCATTTTACTCTTGTCACATTAAAATAAAGGACTATGAAAGTCCAATTTAATTTCAAATATGACTCTGCCACATCATTCTAAGTATAGGTTCTCAATAGAAAATGTGTTTGTACAACATTTTTCATTAATGAATCAAAGGCCATCTTCAGCAGATCTCTTGCAACATTATATACAGTAGTAAGTTTAATTGGAGGCCACTGTGAACCTTCTTTTCTAATTTTTCTTTCCCCTTCTATGCAGGGTAGCATGTTCCCTAGATCCCTCCAAACTCTCCCAAGAAATCCTAATGCACCTAATTAGCAACTTCAACTATACTTGCTGATGCATCTGCCACTTAGACCAGCTTTTTATAGCTCAACTATTTTGGAACCAAACTTCATGATTCAAAAATCATTTCAATATTCCAGATACAAAAAAATAAATTAGCCTGACATTTGCATTTCCAACAACATTGTCTCTCTATATATATATATATATATCTCTCTTTCCGGTGAATGGTATTTTTTTTTTTTTTTTATAAAGAAATTAATGGTAAATTTTGTATTCTGTACAAGTTAACTTCAAGGCACCAACTATAATGTATTATGGATTAGGTAGTGCTAAGTAATCGTAGGTGTGTTGACATATATTACAGTTACACATCTCAACCACTCTAACCTTTGCATTTTTTAATTGGATAAATTTACCTGGCCTCCCCAAGATTTGTAATCTGAACCCTCGGTTTAAACTTTGGCAAAAACCACTCCCTGTCAGATTCTCAGACCCTCCTAACGCCCCACTGTTAATGGTAAAGTGACAAATTTACTCTCATTATTATTATATCCATAAACATCTAAATTGCTTACATGTAATTGATCAAAGTATTTAGAGGAAGTTAAAGGGTAGTATTTGTCCATCTGAAAATGGACAAATACTACCACATCGTGATTTTTGGAGGGTCGCCCCACATTGTGTTTGGTGGTGTATTTGGGGAGAGAGAAACAACAGAAACTTTGAAGGGAAGGAATCGTCTTTTGCAAACCTTAAGTCTTTTATCCTACGCTCTTTTTTCTGTTATGTCAGAGGCAGCGCTTGCTCCTCGATCGATGACTTTTTTGTTCTATTGGACTCTGTTGGTCCATAGGTTTGGCTTTTGCTCTTTCGTTTTTGTGTATTAGGGACGCGTTCCCCTTTTGAACGTCTTTCTAATATATTTTTACTTATCAAAAAAAAATAAAATGTACATAATGGGCATTAAAATGATGTGCACGGTAACTAATCATTTCATAATATAGAAAGTCATTTTTGGTATTTAGAAAAAAATCTAGACTTTAATTGATCCCTAACAGCTTGGGGCTAAGGCTAAAAATAGTTTTACCCTAACCTCAAGGGAAGTTGACCATAATTTAAATTGAGGGTGCAAATTGCAAATCTCATCGGAGGTCACGGTAATTTACCCTTCTTATTTTGTTCCCAAATATGGCCTAATTACTCCAATGACCTGAGATTTAGATCAAGGTTATTTTCTAAGTATGTATATTTTATATGGACACAAGAATAAAATAGTTTTGCTCAACCAGTTGTTTTGCATCATATACAACAAAAGTTAGTTGCTGACTTTGTAGTCCACAATCCAACAGAAAAATTCCCCTTTTTTACATAATAGCAAACATTTGGAAATGCAAAATTCGAAAAAGAGCATTCTTATCCACCACTAGTTTGTATCATACAAGGAAGTAGCTTCTTACTTCACATAATTATGAATTCCTGATTGAATAGCCTCTGGAAATATTCATTAGCAATTTTCACAAAAAAATATTTGTAGACAATAAAACAAAGGTAATTTTTCCAACGTGCAGTACTCTATTTCAAAATTGCAATAGTTGGGTACGAAAAATACCATCAACTGTGCCATGCAGGAAGCACAGTCGGTGTTATCAAAGGCCCAAGGCGCACTAAGGCGCTAGAGGTCCTTTGGAGCCTAGGCGCGAAGCGCAGGGCGAGGCGCGTGCCCAAGTTAAGCAAGGTGCACAATTGAAAAATTAAATTATTATTAAAGCATATTCATATTCCATATTAAAGGCGCACCTGGGCACACATCAGGCGTAAATGTTGCGCCTATATGAGCATGGAGCCTGGGCGCGCCTTTAACAGCACTATGTGACAATAAACAATAATTACCTGGCCAAATGGACTAAACAGCTGCCTGAGATCTTTCTCTGTTGCCTCAAAAGCTACGTTTCTCACAATTAATTTTGTTGAACTCTGATCCCTATCAACTTTTTTCTGTACTTGTTCATCCTTCTTAGCGTGACAAAGTTGCAATATAAGAGCATGCCCATCCAGAACAGTTCCCTGAAACGGTGGGAATGCTAAGAATTCCAAATCAAAAGCAAACGATATTCGCTGAATTTGGCATTTGGGATGAAATATTACCTGTAAGTCCCTACAAACATTTGTTGCCGTTTCAACAGAATCAAGCTCTATAAAACCAAAACCCATGGAAACATGTTTTCCATTTTTCAAGTGCTTCTTCACCTGCACATGGATAAAGCAGAACAGTAACTTGAGAGAAGAATGTGATTAAATAATACATTAAAAAAATACTACTGAGCAAGGACCAAAATAATTACCCTGACACTTAAGATTCTTCCTTCCTTCACGTGTTCACCAAAATGCTTTCTCAGACTCTCATCAGAAGTTTTGAAGTTGAGGTTTTTGACAAAAAGTGATCGTGACTGTTGTAGAAGAGAAAATGTAGTAAACAATGAGTTACTAAAATGCTTATTAGAAGCAAATAACAGTCACAGGTATCAAGAACCATTTTCATTACAATTATATATATATTCCAAATTAGCTGGAGAAGCTTCTTATTACAATATCAACATCGTCCACCACATTCATTCTTCAAAAGGGTGTCGATAGTATCTTCAATATGTTGTAGACTCCCCATCTATTGTTTTAATTGTCAGATACCTACCAGGCTATACATAATTTTGGCATATAAGAAAACACTACCACGATTCAGTTGCACAATTATCTCAATTAACAAGATCAAAAGGTTAAAGATCACGATGAGAAGATCAAATGCTTCGAATGCGCCACTAAAGATATGGTACTTGTTTAGAAAGCCATAATGATTGCTTGCAACATAGCAAAGATATGATTACCACTCTTTAAATAATTGAGTTTGTGAAAATCATGCTAAAAAACAAAATGATGTAGAGGAAACAACAGTCATTCATATAATTTAGAGAAGTAAAAAGAAACATGAAAATGATGCTAAACCAAATCTTGATGCTAAACCAAATAAAATCAACCAATCAAGATAATAGACTTGACTTGATTGGCCATCATGTTCCAGAAAAAATCATTAAAATTTTATTCCAGAAGGGCTTATTTGATTTAAAAGGGCTGCCTCAGCATACCCATTCTTTTGATATTTTTAATGAAAATATCTATTTATTATTTCTGAAATATTTGGTAATGCAAGGGAGAAGAAAATCCCTGATGTCACCCTAGTTGATTCCAACAGAAAAGATGAATTCAAACAACTACTCTAATCCAATTTGTAAGTAGAACATCCACAATGTTCTGCTTCATTTACAAAATTTAAGATCAAGTTTCCCCCAGGTGGAAACTTATGGCGATCAAGATCCAAGGTTATTTTAGGTGCAAAGAGAGAGTAATTGTTTTTTAGTTAAAATATATACACATATATATATAAAGAAAGAAAGAAAGAAAAAGAAAAAAGAAAGGGCTGATTTGTTCAATTTAGTTAATTCAGTTATTAGGGGTATTTTAGGTTTGAAAATTCAATGACAGGATTAAGTTTTATGAGTCTTATTCTGATGGTTCTTTTTCATCTTATTTAATTATCACTAGGCTTCAATTAGATGCAATTATGGGCCAGTCTACAAACCCAGCCCAATCTTGGGAGGGCTTGGAGTTGTGATACAAGCCCATGAGGCCGGTCTGGGCAAAGAATTGGGTCCTGTTCAGATTTTTAGGGCTGCCTTGGGTTCTAAAATGTAAAATCCCAACTCTGACCAGCCCACCCTTGCAATACTCAATGTAAAGTCAGGCCTGGTCTCACATACTCTCCTTTGCCTGAGCTTGGATTGGTTGTTTAAGGCCCGAGTTCAGGACAGGCCAGGCTACGCTTAGGCTAGTTTGTGTCAATAAAGAGTCAAAGACCAAAGAGTTCTCTGGGGCCAAAACCACTCAAGTCCTCCCAATGCACAGCCCTAATTTATACTTTTAGTTAGATCTAAAAAAACTATAATTTGAAGTTACTATTTGTAATGAAAAAACTTCAAAGCCCACAACTTGATAACCAAATTTACTAGAATTATTTATATATGCATGTGATGTAATGAGGACATCGATGAATTCATTTTTGGAGAATTAAAATATCAGATATATATATTGGCTATATTCATCTACCCTTTCTTAAGGTTTGTTATTAAGCCCCATGGCTCAGGAAAACTGAGCCTATTTCTTAGGAAACACAGATTTCTGACGAAAATCAGATTATTGCAAGTTTGGGCATTGATTCGAGTGTTATTGGGTCCATATTTGATTATAGTTGTCAAATTCTCTATCATGCTACATCATGGTGGAGATTTATGTCATAGGAAATTTCACCATAAATCTAAGAGGTCGTTCTTACTAAAATAAATAAACTAACGAATAATTTGAATAAAGGTATTCGAAAAGTAAATTTACCAGTCATCTTGCAGATATCATATTGAAACAAACTAAAGAAGACAGCGTAGAGGCTGCAATAAGGTTTATAGCGGTGAGACCTCAAGAAGCTAATAGCATTAAATATTACTAGTTACGTTACCAGTCATCTTGCAGATATCATATTGAAACAAACTAAAGAAGACAGCGTAGAGGCTGCAATAAGGTTTATAGCGGAGAAGCTAAAAGCATTAAATATTACTAGTTAGCAAGTACATAAACAACAATATGAAAAGACTGTATTTTTGAGCAATCAATGGTTTATAATGATAACTAAGGAATGAAGCCCAAGAATTACAGTTGCTGATCTTTCAGAATTAGAAAGAAGTGTGCATATCTGTGCAAGAACATACAAACATAACTGTGATTGTTTATACAGTCCAACTATACCACTATTTAGTAACAATTAGATCATAAGAACGCCCATTAAGAGGGGACTCCTAACGAAATGAAGATATAAAAGACAATAAATAAATAAAGAAATCTGCTCAAGAAAATTTATGGAGTAAAAAGATACAGAGTATGAAATGCATGGATGGAATTGATATATAATGTCTAACCTCAACTCTGTCAGTATCAATGTCAGCATCTGCTATTCCTTCCACATGTTGCTCTAATAATACCCTCTTGGCATCATTTTCACCAACAATGATAGAATTATTTGCATCATCCACAGATGTTGAATTTTGACTCAGAATATTGCCAGGTGCCCATTCCAAATACAGTGGAGCATCCCTAATTCAAAATTAAAAACAAAATATAACGCATCTCCACAACTCCTAAACTAGCAAATACCGTTGATGCGATAAGTAGCAGACATAAAAGTATGTAGAAGTAAGATAATAATGTTAAAATATAAACAAGGAAAGGAAGGTTACAAAGAGAGACGGAGAGAGACTCGGAGCAAACGTATATACATATATACATCTATGGTAAGTGATATTGGATAAAAGATTTTATCTTTCAAAATAAGATATTGGATAAAAGATCTTTTAATTTTTTTGATAAGTAAGATATTGGATAAGAGATTTTATCTTTCGAAATAAGATATTGGATAAAAGATTTTTAAATGCAAACAAATTTTAAAAAATAAATAATTTGAAGTACAAGACAATGGAATTGATGCATTCCATTAGAGAATGCAGATTATGGGCAATCGGGGTAGTTTAAAAGCAAAAGCCACTTGAGGTCTTTTATGGTTTGAACCTAGTCTTATTTAATATTAACTATAAGTTAATACACATATGGTTCAGTTTATATATGTTAACTTCAAATTTGAAGTTTGAGGATACCTTGGTATTATCAAGAGTTATCGAACATGGTTCATAGTGGTGGTCCATAGGTGAAGTTTTGAGTCAAGCTCAAGTTTTTGGATCTTAGTGTTTGGAATATAGTAGGTTTCTATGGGTTTTACAGATCAATTTCTAGATCGTAATTACTGAGCAAGTCTCGGTAGAGTTAGGGTTACCTAAAAGCTTATATCTAATTAGGTAATTTTTTCCAAATCAATAGCAAACAGAATCAGATAAAGTTTTCAGAAATAATTCTCTTTCAAGGATTGTGTGATGCATCAAACTCTAGGTGTCATGTCCACGGGACTGCGATAGTGAGTCTCAGGATCCTCTACTCCACTTCCTTTTAACTTTCTGAACTTCATAAGCCTTTAATTTCTATGATCAGATATCATCAACCACTCAAACCTCTTTTCTACCCTTGAATCAATCCCAACCACAGGATGAGGCTTCCAAGGGCAAAGCAGAATACACGGTCCATATCTCACACAATAATATTGAATGCCCTAAAATTCTTTAAACCAATATCTAACTATTCAGAAAGAAAGAGAATCAAGTTGGCACGCCCGCAGGAGAGTGAAAGGCAAGAAAGTTCCAGACAGTCCGATTAGGGCTCTCTTAAAGGGTTCATCCATCACCCCCTGAAGGAGGCAAATTTTACTAGATAAGGAACGATGAGTCCATATCTCACACAATAATATTGAATGCCATAAAATTCTTTAAACCGAGATCTATATATTCAGAAAGATACTAACCTAAAGTTCCTCAACCATTGAGTAAGCTAACTAGCACTCCACATCAAGCGAGCAAAGTAACTATTGATTTACTTCCACAAGCACAAAGTTATCATTACAGTTGGCAAAATCTGACACCAGATATGCAAGCCCATCCTGTAATTAAATAGAAGGCACTTGACCTGAGCACGCAGCCAACCCCAGAACTATATTTCTTTATTGTTTTTATTTTCCGCTTAAATTGTAGAGGTTCCTCCTACCACTCACAGTTGAAGTCTCACTGTGCTCACCCCATACCATTTTAATATTCAAAAGTTTAAGATTATATATGGTAATGCAATCTTAATTTTTGTTTTATCTTTTAAATAATTAAACAAAATCAGTTAGCAGGTTGGATCCAGGTTTGGTAACCTCAATTTGTGGCAAAACCAACCTTACACCATCAACATGCAAGCTCCAGTGGCCAAGTTGAGCAAGGGTTGCAGAACTTTATCAATTCAAGTACAAATGAATTATTCAAATTAATTAATAGAGGCAAGGTCGTTGAAATCGGAACCTACGTATGATCAATGGGGGTCTACAATTCTTCATCATCATCTTCCTTGCCTTAATCATATATAAATTGGATTGGCCACATGAATTCTCTTTTTAATTCTTTCCTATTTGTTTGGGCTCAAAAAACTCTTCAGTTCTAGAGGAACTGCGGGCGTGCCAGGAACTCTGAAAGTTACAAGTGAAAATCCCGACTATTTTCGAAATGGAAGATGGAATGGATCAAGCGATTGAATGAAGGTTTGGAATGACCACTTTCGAGATTCTTTTTTGCCATTGGAACAAAGGACTTCAAGAATTTTTCTATGACTGGAAAGGAAAGGAATTGAAGTGCAGGACTGAAAGTAAAGGAATAAAAGTACAGGGCTTGGAAAGTAAAATACATTAATGGAGATAATTGAAGTACATTGCAAGAATGTAAAGATACTTGAAAGACAATTGCTGGAATTGAAAGATAATTGAAGTAAAGTATTGTTGAGTTGTGTGTGTTGAACAGGGTTTGCAATATACATCAAAGTATCCTATTTATAGAGCTCAGGAGGTAGCAGTTCCAGCATCAGTTACAGTTGGAAGCTTCCATGTGGAACATCCAGATCGTGCCATTTGTCCCATGAACTCCTTAGTCTTTTCATAGTGTTTACTCGTGTGAGACCATGTTCTCTCATGATTACAAGCTTCTGAGGAGTGGCTCTAGTGGTTTGAAGCATGTTGCACGTTCTTAGCCATTTTCCTTAACCTGCAGATGGAAACTATCACACTTCGCTAAGTTTCAGCCAACTCCTTAATGGGTGTCGCATGTTTATGGCAGTTCTTCACCACTAGCTGATATTTAGTAAGCCTTCAGTTGATTCCCTATATTTTCTCCATTAGTGACCCGTTTGTAGTAACTTCCTTGGTTGGTTCCTAAAATTTCTGCATGTTTACTTCTCTGGTGAGATGATTGCTTGATATTAGGAGCTAAACAACTGAATAAGGTAAGTGGCCGCCTTCTGGGGTTGACACATAATCTATGAAAGTTGCCAGAGTTGATCTTTGACTCAAGTCTTCCTCTTATATGAACTCCCTTGTTTGCCATGCGGCACTTGAACACTCAGATTCCTTTAGGTCATGTCACATGCCTCGCCTTTGGTAGTCCGCGTTTCACAGAAACCTTTCCTTATCTAATTAATCCTTAAAACCACGTGACAACATCTGAGTCGTTCTTGGATTTAGGACTTTAATTTTTCCACAGACTCTAGCTGCAGGTGATTTATTCACTCTTGTATAGCCAAGTGTCGAGTTTCTGGTGGCTATCAATGCAAGAATTCGCTGTAGCAAGTTCCAATGGAACTCACCACGTGTCACTTTCCTATTGGATGGCGGCAGCTGAAAATTGGGGTGTAAACACTACTACAAAGTCTTTTCTCCTATTATATTTAATTTTAAAAAATCAATTCTCATAAATTTATCCCATGTTAACTTTTTGTCTCTTATCTTCCATGCAAATTAATCTCACCTTCAGTTGCTGATGACACTTTTTTCCTATGTGCAGCCAATCATTTACAGCTCAGAATCCTTAAATGTATCTTGGGTTGCTTTTAGGCGGTTTCAAGACTTGGGATGAACTTATAAAAAGTTTTTTTAGTGGGAGCGGAGATCAACAAAGAGGAACTCGCAGAAGATTTGGGGTGCAAGGTGGCCTGTCTCCGATCTCCCTATCTTGGTCTCCCATAGGGCGCTAAATACCGATCAAAGGCAATATGGGATATGGTGGAGGAATGTTTTGAGAGGAGACTTGCCCCGACTTTGTTATAAATGTTCATATTACCTAAGTCAATCTTATCACTGATAGGAGTCCCTCCTAATTTCTTCCTCACACTTTGATTAGTGACCCTTCCCTATTCTAGTCATGCTTACCATTCATCTTAGCATTCTCATTTCAGTTACATGAATGCGCTGTTTTTTTCCAAATGACAAAATAAATGGGAATCTACATTTCATATCATCATCACTCCTAATGGGGGCCTAAAAATTCTACAATACAACAAGGATAAGCTCTAATAATATTTCTGCATATTAAGATTCTGAAGAATACACTAACAATAACTAAAAGTCATGAATATAGTAACATTAAAACAAATGAGCACAAAAACATATGCTATTTATACGCGCGCGCGCGCACACAAACATTAACACTACTTATAAGATATAAAAAAAAAAAAAAAAACATGTGAAAAAGGAAAAGGAAACAACACTGTATCCATACTAGTCAGACTGAGATATTGCTTGGCCAAATTGGTTTATAAAGTAACGTATATAAGAGTTGCTGAAAGTCAAAATGAGTAGAAAATTTTGACAAAAGGGTCTAACTTGAGACATCTAGGAGAGTCTCCAAGACTCAGCCAATATAAGAATAACTTTTAGGACAAACGCAGCGAACCAAGGACAAATCGCGAATCACGACGAAAAAGTAAACACGACACACAAAGAACACAAAGTTTACGTGGTTCACTATGCGAAAATCAGGAGATTACAAGTTTCAGCCCCCAAACCATAATTCTCACTCTCACTCTTTTCTGCGGATTTCAGTGTCTCTCGTTATCCCCTCCAAACCCTAAACGCCCTTATACATCAGGCTACAAGAGAGTACTAAAAGTGTCCATGACCCGCAAGCAAAAAAAGGAGCCACAACATCAATATAACGTTAAGGCTATTTAGTAGTTAATTGTAGAATCAGGACTTGACTTGGGATCCCACAATTCATGTAATCTCTTAGAGAATCCACAAGATTTCTGTACTCCTATTTTTTTTAAACTTGTTTTACTCTTTAAATGGAATCTAGATCAATTAAGTGTTTTTGTATTGTAAGATCATAAAATCTAAATCAAAATATATACCACAATATGTGGTCATTACTAGTGATCAGAATAAAGACAAACTTACTTGTAACGCTTGTAAGCTAAACCTCTGAAAGCTGCGCGTGCTTCAGCGGGTTCAAGAAATACAACCTGATATATCATGTTTAAAAATACCATAAGATATAGAAACATACAATTTAACAATCAATACCAATTTTTTTTTTATTATTTCCACCAGTTATGACACTTGCTTTTACTTTGCAGCAATAAAAATGTTGATTAATTAAAATACTCATCAAACAGACATCAACTTTTTAGACAAAAAAAAGAAGAAGAAATCCTTCCCCTAATCTAGCCAAACCAAACAAGGATAGAAGGAATTCTTACAATCAGCTTCCAGACTATCAATACATCAACACTGATTTTTTAAACGGCAAGATGGACAAAGGCCAAGTATGTCCAAACCCTAATGATCTACAAGGCCAGCCAATGTTACTTGGAACACGGATCATTATTATATACGGAATGCTTTGGAAATGGGAATGTGGTAAGATAGGGTAGCCTATTCAAATATAAAGTCAGAATGCAATGGAGAAAGTTCTACTGCAAAAGCTACAGCTTTTCCTACCCAGTTATGAGGAATGTAAAACAAAACTGTTGAAAGTCCACATATTGTATGTTCAGACATGTAAAAGCATTGTGTTGGTTTATCCTAATTACGTTGAGTTCCTGATTTATATGCTCTTTTGATGCTAATCTTAAGGAGAAACAAATAGAAGAGATAAGAAGAAGTAATTCAGACAGCTAAAATCTGTGTTGTGATACGAAAGTGTTCGATGTTTTTGGAACACGCATATGGAGCATGAATTGCTAGGTGTTACTATTTTCTGGTAATTAGAGGCCCAAAACATAGCTTGCTAGGCCAAACCTAGGCCATAGCTGAACATTCCTAGGCAATTGTCAAGTACGTCTCACATATCAACTATAAGTCAACTAAGGTTGTTAGGTAAGTAAGGTTGTTGGGTAAGCAAGGTTCTTCGCCCAAAGCTAAACATCATCCCTAGAAAACCACCATGCCTCCCATATATCAATAATCATAGTCAACATGTAAATGATGAATCTTAGACATTACGTATGACTTTCTTGAGCATAGAAAATATAATTGTATGGAAAAATCAAACCAAAGGTTTATATAGAATTTTTAGGAAATTGGACCATATTTTAAAAACAATACATTCATAAACACATTCAACATGTCATGTCGTCAAAGTGTTTTAATCCATACAGCATAGAGATAATTAATTTTTGAGATTTGTGAGTTACAAATTTCATGTTAAAATCATAGACTATTAGGTTTTAACTTTTTTTTTTTTTTTTGTTAAGTACCATTAGGTTTTAACTTTTAAGAGTATCATTATTACCTAGTGTGGTCTTCATCAATTGGGAGAGTTGGGAGGGATAGATTGGATACAAACCTCAATTGGGAGTGTTGGGAGGGATAGACTGGATACAAACCTAACCTTAATTATTATTTGCAAGTGACTGCTCACAGGATTCAAATGGCATTTTCATATCAGAATGTTAGACTCATTTATCATTTTTAGTAAGTTAACAAAGGCATGCCTCCCTTTTGGGATGGCAAAAGAAACAATTCAAGCTATGCAACTAATGGTAATATCCTCTCCTGTCCCGAAGTGTCCCAAAAGAGATGTTTCTTTTGAAACGTCAATGTGACAAAAATGGATCTCCTAATTTTTTCAAATTTGAATAGTTGTCTAAATTAACAATTTATATCCTAAAATTTTTAGAAGGCTAGATTTAGAATTTCAATGGAGAAATGCATAAATCCCATGTCCCCTTTAAGTTGGAGTCATCAAAAGTGGCATTTATTTTGGGATTGGAGGAAGTATTAGATTTACTACTCATAAACTAATGTTTTGTTCTCTATAATATAATTCTATTTAAAATAAATGCATTCCTTTTTCATCGTGCCCATGCCACGTCTATGTCCTTTTTAAATATTTGCCATGTCTGAATGTACATATTATGTTGTGTCATCTATCCATCCTCATGCTTCATAGGTCATTCACATATCGTGCCTTGAATTATTCCAAGCCCTTACTCTGTTTAATACTTTAGTGCCAGCTCACAAAAAATAAACAAAGAAAACAACTCTAGTATGTCAATTGTAAAGGCCTGCAAAGCACATCCACTCAGTGTCAAACACCACGAATCACTTTGCAAAATTATTATCCGTTGCAAATGAATTCAGTAGTATGGATTTCCTAGATTAGAACCCTTGTAAATCCAAATCCAAATCCAAATAAATAGTTCATTATTCAAATAAAACAACTAGTCCACTAGTATCTATTAATTGAAGGCTATTTCACACAAATTGTTACTGTTCAGAGCTCTATTATATATGTTGGGCTGCTTCAGCTATTGGGTTTATTGTTTAGTATGATATCACGATGCTCTGGTTTTGGAAGGTCTTAGGTTCAAGTCTCTCCACAGGAGATCTTTCCTTTACTGTGTATTTGTTTGCACTTTATTCTACTTGTATGTCCCTCCACATGCAAGAGAAGCCTCACATATAGTAGATGGTTGAGAGCTTAATATATATGGTTGGATCCGTTCAGTAGTAGTATAACACTTTTAATGTTGCATACGCACATCAAGTCATATAAATCTGAAGAAAAGTAAAAATATAGTTTTGCATACCAAGGCCAATGTTTTTGTTGGAGGGAGAATAATTTTGTCCAAGCTCCCAAATTTCCCAAACATCTTAGCCAACTCGCCTTCAGAAGAACCATAAGGCAAGTTCTTCACCAAAATAACATGGTTGCTTCTTTTCACACCTTCAGTTTTCCCAGCAGTGTATTCCTCTAAAGATGATACATTAACTCCAGCATTTACAAGAGCCTTTTTTGTTTCTGCAATAACTTGAGTTTCTCCCAAAGCAATACGTACAGCAAGATCATCAGCTTCTCGGTCAAGTAAATCACTTTTACTTACACCAAATTTCCTAGCAATGTTTTCAACAACCTAATAATGTCCAAAAATAATATCAAAATATGATTGAAATCTCAGACCAGGCCACGAAGCAAATGCATAACTGAAAGAATAATTGCTAACAAGGCTCTGGTCCATAAATAATACAGTCAAATTTTATGTTTTGTTTCAACTCCACATAACAGTGATAAAGCAACAACTGGCAAATCCATAACTGAAAGAATAATTGCTAACAGAGGCTCGGGTCCATAAATAATACCGTCACATTTTATGTTTTGTTTCAATTCCACATGACATTACTAGGAAATGTAAAAGAAAATCTGAAATACACTGAAATTAATCTTCCCAATACTATAATTGACTTGAAAGATACCGTATCAGGGCGCATGAACAAACTGTTCCATGCTTGTGTATTTCCACTGGCTTCAGATTTCTTCTTCTCCTCCTCCCTCTGTTGCTTTAATGTCTTCGAAGATTGGTTCACAGAAAAATTGATCCTATAAAGTGGTTGAGGATTAAATATAAGCTCCTGCTTGTTTAAGGGACGCGTTCCCCTTTTGAACGCCTTTTTTTAATTCATTATTACTTGTCAAAAAAAAATATAAGCTCCTGCTTGAATTAAACCACACACACACACAAACATAGCAAAATTGCAACCTTGGAAGGCGAAAAAAGGTTAAATAAAAATGCAACCTTGGAAGGCAAAACGTGGTTAACATATTTCCCACTTACTCTTGTTTCTCAGGAGCACTTTTTTGCTTTGCTGGCATAATATGCAATAACCTGCCTTGAAAAATTGAATTGTCCAGCTCTTCTAATGCCCTGAAATAAAAAATAAAAAACAAAGATGATTATTGTAAAAGCACAGACAACATAGATCACATCAGAAAATGGCCAAGATCTAGACATGCTTGTGCAGCATGTTAGGAAGCATATGAGAACTTAAGACATTTGTATTCATATTCCTCAACACAAGATAAGATTTTTTTAAACTACCAAGTCTATGACCTCATCAATCAAGAAGAATATGAGGAAAGAAGCAGCTTGGCTCGTGTATTTTACCAATACATAGCACATAAGCTGCATATTATTAACACAGCATTTTGGCAAAATAAATTCTGGTTGGTTTATGGGGAGTGGGAACCAAGTCTCAATACTGAAATAAGTTGATCCTCAGAGTGCAGCATCCAAATCCTCAATTTGAGGCATGAAAATCAGGGAAATAAGCTCATAAAGGTTGCAAATCAAAGCACAAACGTCAACCTAAACATGAGAATATTACAAATCTTGAAGCTTTAACCTAGAAGTAATACCTAGCTGCAGATTCTGGAAGCGCATAAAGAACATAAGCAATTCCCTTGGACCGTTTGGTGTCTCTATCAATAACAAGATGTACCTGTGAGACACGACCGTACTTGCTAAAATGCTCTTCAAGTTCATCCTCACTGAAATACATAAAAAAATGATCAAAGTTTTTAGAATAATCAATCAGCACTGGTCGCCAGAATAAAAAAATGATTTCATCTCACATTGTATAGAAAATATGTAACATAAGACAAGGAGCCTACGTGGCAGCATATGGCAGATTACGGACGAAAAGACGGGCAGTCTCTAAAACATTTCCTCTCCCATCTTTTGAACTTGATGATGGATTATCCAAGTCAATCATTTCATCATCAAATTCTTGAGAAGAACCCTTTTCAACCTCCTCTTCAGAAGCATCTCCTTCAAGGGCATCATGTTGTCCCTTAGGATCTATTTTATGAACATCCCGGCCCCCATGGCTTTTCTGGAGAGAATTGTCGCCACCATGATCGTTGTCATCATCATCCTCATCATTGTCATTCTCATCATCACCGCTTTCTGAATCTGACCATTCTTTCTTTACCCTACTTTGGAAGTAATCCATATCTGAGATAACTTCATCATGAGCCAAATTGTGTGGCCTCTCAGCTGCTTCACCATCTGAAGACCCATCATCTCCTTCATCAGTTTCATCTAACTCAGCCTGCACTAGAGTTGATTCCTCTTTGCCATCCCCTCTTTCTAATTTTCCCTTTTGCTCAAGAGGGGGAGCCGTCAACGAATCATTTGCCCACAATTTTGACTTGATTCGGGGCTGCATTACCTGAAGGAACTCTTGAAGCTGAGGGTCATTATTCTCATTTATATTTTTACTATCTTTTTTCTCTCCTTTAGAATTTGCAAGGCCCAGACTTCTAGGGCCAGAAACCTTTTTTCCCTCTTCTGTTGATTTCTCTTGTTTCGTCAAAGAGTGCCGACTCCATGGCCGTGGAATATTTGGATCCCCCACTTTACGAGCAATCTGCCAATATGCAAACAACATTTACTTCTAAAATGTTAAGGAAAAAACATCTTGAATGTGTAATATATGTTCTTTTCAACATTCAGTACATTAAAATTATCTTGAAACAAAGCTTATGGGCTTTACTAGCCTCGTAGTTCAAGCCAAAGCCATTCTCTTATGGGTCAGCATCTGTGTGTATTTGCGCACTCAATATATCACAACAAACAAAAGACTTTAATAGTTCTCACATGGCATGCTACAAACACTCAAACAGAGTGCTGAGTGTCACTATTTTTTGTCCGACTTGATGTGCTTCCAAACATTCACTATATACTTAAACCCATTACGAAACTACCATCGCGTGTGCATCTCTTTGAGCTTCAAGAATTGCTATATCACGCTAATAGACTTCTAATTCAAAAAATACAGTCTTTTAAGTATATGTTTTGTACCTATACGCATCCAATTTACAATTTTCATTCTCGTTTCTCCAATGTTAAAAATTGTAGAAAAGTCGGAACCGGAGTAGCTAAAAATTCACAGTAACAATAACATCAGAGCCAGAAAGTAGAAGAAATTTATCAAAACTACATAAATAACAAAGAGAAGTAGAAGAAATTTATCAAAACTACATTAATAACAAAGAGAATTGAGAGTCACACCTCACAAGTAATTCTAAAAGTATCAAAGTAGGAATTGTTAAAGTATTTCAAAGCTTCCTCAGCTTCATGCTCAGTTCGATACCCTATAAATCCGAATTGCCGACTCTTTCCATCTCTACACAATTCAAAAATCAAACATTTATTATTACCCAAACAATTTCTATAATACAGGTGTGTATATATATATATATAAGGAAAAATCAGAAAGCAATTGGAGAATATGATACTTGGTGCGCATAAGCTTTGCGTCAGTGACTTCTCCTTTCTGAGAAAAGAATTCTCTGAGGCGATCTTCGGCAGCGTACTTGGGCAAATTCTTCACACAGATTCGAGACCTTCACACAGAAAATTTGTATATTCAGTTTTAGAGAGAGAAAACAAATAGTAATGTTTTGTGATTCTAAAGTAGCCTTTTTAGTATTCAAGAAAGGAAAAATAGTTGGTGAAGAAGCAAGTACTCACATCGTTCTTCGTTCTCGTCAAAAATCGAAACGGCTCTTCAATCACTACAAATTGATTGTGTGTTTGTGTGTGTTTTTGTGTGAGAGAGACGTTGCGACGCTGAGAATTGGGGAGTTGGAGAGAGGGTTTGAAGGATACCTGGACTTGGGTCGGTTGAGCCGACCTTCAATTTGGTTGGACCAGGGCTTCAAAGTTGGGCTGAACTTAAAAGTGGAGTATTATTCAATCCAAGCCCAAATCAAATCCATTAGGTTAGGATTTAGGATAAGAATGTGGGCTCGTACTTAGAACCGTACCGTACGTTGAGCACATTAGTTACGTGTGACTGACTTTAGCGCAAGCCTAAGCTCAAGTCATTTTAACTAGTTGCAAAATGGGCTATGGGCATTATTGTTAGATGGGCTATGGGGGTGGACACAGACTGTTTTAAATTTAAAGTCATAAATTAACAGTTGGATTGGACTGGTTTGGGCTGAAATATAATTTTTGTTTTAACTACATGAAATGTTAAATTGACTCACAAAACAAAAAAACCCCACTTAACTATAATATCATTCTTCACAATTCTAACCAGTTTTTAAACTTTACAAACGTATTCGAGATGAGTTAATAGTTGTTTGAGATTAATTCGTTTAGGAAAAGGGTTTGAAAATTTTATTTGAGATTAATTCATTTACTAATCAAACTATAATACGATCCGAACTTTGATCGAGCTAAGCACAAGCTGGTTATTTAACGTTTGGCTCATTTACTGTGCCACTCACACTTACTTATGTCTCAAGGGAATTATATTTTCTTGGTCCACTCCTGTTGGGGAAGATTTCGCCAAGCATTTATGTAAGTTGGGGGGGCCAAAGCCATTTTTTTTTTTTTTTTTTGGGAATGTTGTCAAAAGCCAAAATTGATACCACAAGAGAGTTAAATTGATAGTCGTGGAGATTTTTTTCGCATCTCGTGCAAAAAAATTATAAGATTGTTGCAAACAAGTGCCTCTGCTTGTTTTTTATTTTATTTTATTTATTTTTGTTTTTGGAAGTTTGTAGAAAGAAAGACAGTAATAATTTTATTATTTTTTCATAATATATTCTCAGAAATTCCTTAACTGGAAAAAAAAAAAAAAAAAGTTCCCATTTCAATGCCACATTAAGGAACAACTTGAAAAAGGAGAAGCTGGAAGTGGGAGTTATTTGAAAATTTTATCAAAGGGGTTCTTTTTTTAATATATATATTATGTGCTTCACTTAGTTACTATTCACTAATTGATATGAGAGAAATTATTAGGTATTCGAGATTACCGACAATGTAGCACTCCATCATCTTGACACATATCTTATGCTCATTATTTAAGAATTTGAGAAAATGTGCTTCATAATAAGAATGTATCAATGATCTACAAAATGTATTAACAGAATCAACCAATTGTCTCAACTATGATTCATTGTATCGTCCAATATGCGTTAGTATTAGCCAGTTTATACTGACTTTGTCTGAGTTCGTTACATCGCGACCGCAACCATAACCGATACTGCGAACCATGGTCTCGACCATCAAATATTATTTAAAATGTTATCAAAGGATTTTATAGAAATAATCTAACAAAAACTAGTTATATTTTTATTCTAAATTTTGATTTTTGGTAGGTATTGTGGTCATGCAACAAGAAGGGTTTCAATTTGTTCAAACAAAATATTCGAAGGACTGTTACTTACTATATAGTAACTTATTGAAAAGACCATTGATACCTTTCAATTTATTCAAAAAATAATAATAATAATAAATAAATAAATAGAATTGAGCCTGAGACATCCACATTCTGAGCAAAGCATTATTGCTCATCCACATTTCACAGATTGTAGAAAAACAAAGAGTTACAACAAAGCATTTACTCCAATAGCGCTCCCAATATATGATAGTTCCTTTATATTTTACAACTTAAAGCTACAAAAACTGTTTACCAATAAATAAATTTGTACATACTAATTTTGATAATACAAATGAAGTGATCAGTGTTATGTTACAGCTTGCTGGTATTTGAATCTCTTGAAAACTTTTCCCTTGATGTTGAAAAACATTGGTTTGAACACTTCCTCACCAATAATCCCCACAAGAACAAGTTCCATCCTTGAAATTATGGAACCTCCTCACAATTATCTCCCTTTCCACAATCTTTGAAATAAACTTGGTAGCAGCATGGCAATCATTACAAACTCTAAGGTTCTTGGCAACTCTAATGGTGGTGCCGGGAGGCGTGTTGAGGATACCAAATGCTATTGCTAGTTTCTCACTATGCCCACATAGTAGATTCTCCTTTTCCACCTCATCAACATTGTGTAGAACACAAGAAGGGTTAGGAACATAACCCTCTTTTCTCATTCGCTCTGACAACATTTCGACGAAGCTATAGAGCTGCTCAGTTTGTGGATATGATGCATCCCCAGCCATGAACTTATGAACCTCATCACCAAACTCAATCCAACTGCACCCGGGTTCTTTTCATACTCCCATTTCCTTCATGTTCTTTCGAAGCTCTGTTGCTTTCTCCCACAGTCCGGCGATGAGTAGATATTAGAGAGTAGAACATAATGGCTAGCCACATTTGGCTCCAATTCAAGGAGATTCTTCGCTGCAATTTCCCTAAGTTCTACATTTTGATGGATTCGACAAGCACCAAGCATGCTACTCCAAGTGCTTATTTTGTCAACATTAGGAGGCATCGACTTAATGAGTTGATAAGCTTCGTCCAGCTGACCTGCTCGACCAAGCAAGTCAACAACGCAAGCATAGTGATCTGCTGTAGGCTTAACTCCATGGTCATCTTTCATTTTATGAAACTAGTTACGGCCTTCCTTTACCATCCCAGAGTGACTACATCCAGCGAAAATTGTAATAAATGTAACCTCATTAGGCCTGACTTCCCCACCCCTAGCTCCTTCTGCCACCATACTCTTAAAAAGTTCTAAGACTTCTTCTCCTTTCCCACGCATCCCGTAAGCCATGATGATAATATTCCATGTGATCACATTTATGTTGGGCATTCCATCAAAAATTCTCCTAGATAAGTTCAAGCAACCACATTTTGCATACATGTCAACCAGTGCCTGCTCACAGCAACATCTAATGCCAAAGCATTTCTAATGGTGTAAGTATGAATACTTTCCCCTTCACTAATGCTGCAAGGGTGGCACAGCTAGGAAGGATTGCCATGAGTGTTATTGAATTTGGTTTACAAGGAACTCCTTTTTCATCCTCATACTCATCCTTCTCCTCATTCTTTGCTTCTTCAACTCTTTGCATCGCATGTAACAGAATAAGTGCATCTTCATGGCGTCCATAGATAACATAACCTGTTATCATTGAATTCCAAGAAATTATATCTCTAATCTTCATGCTATTAAATATATTTTCTGAAGTTCCTATCTTTCCCATCCTAGAATACACGTCTATAAGTGCATTTTATACATACGGGTTCCTTTTGAAACCCAACTTCATTACATACCCATGCATAACTTCTTTGTCAGAGAATACTTCACAGTGCACACAAGCTGGTAAGACACTTGCCATTGTTGCGGGGTTAGGAAAAAGTCCTGAGACCTCCACCATTTGCAAGAACAGCATTAAGGCCTTCCCATAAAAGCCATTTTTTGTGTAACCAACAATCATAGCATTCCAAAGCCCAAGTCTTCTATCTAAGATACCATCAAAAACTTAACGGCCACTTTCAACCTGTCGGCAATTGCAGTACATGTCGACTAAAGCACTACCGACAAACGAATTCCCAATCAAATCATCATATCTCAAGGCATAAGCATTAATTTCCTTCCCAACATCTAACAACTCCAAATTGGAGCATGCAGGGAGAACACTCGCCATTGTGACCCCATCAGGCCTAATTCCTTCAAGAACCATAAGCTGTAACAAATTCAATGCCTCATAAAAGCAGTTGTTTTGAGAGAATGAGCTTATCATTGTGTTCTAGGAAACCATATCCTGATGCTCAAACAACTCAAAAACAACTTTCGAGTAATCAAATTTCCCTTGTTTGGCATACATAGCCATTAACGAATTGTTCGTAAATGTCTTCCCATCACCTACTCTCAAACTATACCTATGCACTTGCTTCCCGAGCCGCAACCCATCATTCTCACTCAAATTAGAACACGCAAGTGCCATACTCACCAAAGTAAACGAACTGGGCTCCATTCCCTCCAATTGCATTAACCGAAATGCATCCAACGCAAGCTCCCACTCCTCAAATCGTCACAAAGCATAAATCATCGAATTCCAATCGCGTGTGGGAACGAAGGGCTTCGATCCATTCCGATCTGGGTTTTAGAAAGGTTTTGGTGGAGATGGAAGTGGTGGTGGTTGTTTGAGGGGTGTGTTTTCGAGAAGTTGGTTGCTGGATTTGGAGGGAAGAGAGGGAATGTGAAGGTTGCAGGGATAAAGAAAGAGGGGAGAGAGGCTGTGTCAAGGAGGACATTGGTAGTTATTACAGTTGGTTGCAGTTGAAGCTTTTCTCAGAAATATAACAGTATACAATGTCTTCGAACGGGATGATAAACTGACTGGGCAATGGATAAGATTATAGAAACATATCCAAGTTATCAATTAATACGTGTCGGACTTTTAGAGGACAATTACAGAATTTTTTTTACCCAACTTTGAAGCATTGCTAAAATTAGAGTTCAAAAACAAGTTTGAGTTTGAAGAATATTTGTACAAATGATGTGTCAAGAGGTGATTCTATTTTTTGAAATGATGGTCCTTAGTTACACGATATTTTAAATAAATATTCAAACTAACGTATCAAGAATACAAGCACTCTCGGTATTAAAAAGGTCATTATAACCCGAATATGCTAGTAACTTCTCAATAATTTGTCAGGTTAAAAAAAGAAAAAGAAAAAAAAGCTTATAAAATTTACAAAATTAAAGAAAAAAAATGATTCTTCTTACCCCCAAAAGAAAAATACAATTCATATATTAAAGATACAAATAGAAAATAAAAAAACGATTCATATATTAAAGATACAAATAGAAAAAATGATCCTTATATTAAAGACACAAAACTCCTACAGGAATCATTCATTTCCTCTCAAAAGTTTTCCAAAAATATAGTGCACTTCTAGACAAAGCCCATTTAGCCTTTGTTTTAGATCAAGAAATTAACCCACTTGGAAGGAGAAAAAAACCAAAATAGGAGAGACGGCATGCCTTGCACTTGAACAGTGCCAACAGTTAGTATTTCAAGTTCATGTCCATGATTTTCAAGCCTTGTGCATCTTATTTGCAAGATATCTAACTCCATGAACAACACCAGCAGTCAGTATTCCAGAAACAGCCTGCCTTGCACTTGAAATCATAACCCTACGCCTCACAACTTTCCGCATGCATTCAGCAACCTCTTCCCTTGAATTAATCACAACTTCGCGTATAACTTGACCTGCAAAGACAATGTGATGTTAATGCAATCCAAACAAAATTGTTGCATCAGATACCCATTTGGAAATCTGCATATGAATTTAAGCAATTTTTTTTTTTTCCCACAAAGATGATTTGAAGCATATGGGAGGCTAGAACTCTTAAATCAGGGAATATTTGGGTTTCATTTTCCTATCAATCTACACCATCAGAGTTGTTGTTCATACCAGATTTACCAACTTTTTTCTCTTCTCCTACTCTCATCCTCATTTGGCTTTTGACCGTCGCCGGAAGAATAGAAACAAGGGAGGAAACTGCAGATAAACTAGATTCCTGGAGTTGACCAATAGCAACATATCAAGACAAGAGTACAATAATGAACTTTTCATGCCAGCTACACTGCTTTTATATGATTCTACTAGATAAAGGTAGGTAGAGTATCATGTTTCAACACTGAAATTACAAATATATGCGTGGCCTCGCTGGAGTCCCCGAATAAAAGTGAATGTTTGAATAATTGATAAGGAAATATTGGACCCTTTCATAACAATAGAAAAAGAAAAGATACAAGATTAAATCTGCTCTGGGAATTGAGAACTCAAGGATTTGAATGGATCTGAGATATATTTACTTGGTGACCACCAGATGATGAAAATCTCAACAAGTCATTGGTTGCATGTTCATCTAGATATGGCTTATACATTGTTTGGAATAAACTAAACTGCCCTTGCACAATATTCTTCACCTGACAGGTAATAAAGATGTCAACGGAAAATACCAGAGAACAGAAGAATAGATCATGCCGATTCACCTCCAAGGTCAAGGAAGTGCCATACGGATGTTAGGCACTAATAATATCTCTAAAACAACAAAGATAAAATGAACAGTTATGTAAAAGAACATGTAACCTCATCCAGGAAATATCTAGATTTCAGAACATTCAATTATAATAGTTACATTATTCCTAATATAATTCAGAAGCCATATCTTGGCAATATCAGACTTTCCATTATTGGTTTATGACCTATGTTACCTGAACTCGGGTGCGTCTGTCAGGTACAAGCACCGTGGAAACCTTAATCTTTGTTTTATTATCCATTCTCATAGTTTTATTGTATGATTATTGCCACAATGTTGTATATCTCTTTCATAATTGTAAATTAACTATATTGCTTTTTTCTACTCATTTGGCATGTCAAAAAGTATAATAGGTCTAAACGTTGTTTCATGGAATTTGCCTTTTAGTCTAAAGTAATATGTTGATCATACAATCTGTTAAGAGCACTATGCATTTAACCCATCTTGCTTTGGTTATAAGCAAAACTATCTCCAATCTCTCCCTCTCTTCAATAATCAAGACTAGATGACAAAACTGGTCAAGTTTTGGTATCTCCCTACTCTTTATTTCACTATTTTCTTACTCGCATTCACTTTACTAAAGTTGCATTAATACATTCAGTTTAGTCCTACTTATCTTAAACTCTTTTAATTCTATACAGTCACTCCGAACAATTAATTTAACATTGTCCCTTCTTTAATTTTATTAATCAGAAAAACATCATCAATAAGTAGCCTAGACCATGAACTTGATCCTTTATGTTTTTTAGTTAATTCATTTATAATCAAGTAAAAAGATAGAGGCTTAACATCAATCCTTGATATACATTTACGATAATTGAAAATTCACTTGTTTCTCTTGCAGTTATTCTAACTATAGTTGTAACTCCATCTTACGCATCCTTTATCATTTCAATATATCTATTTATCATGACAGCCACTAGTTATATGTATAATATCAGAAAGCCCAAATCACACTAACACTATCAGAAGCAACAACTACAAGTGATATACTTCGCCTAAGATCTAAGTAAGTTGCAATCAACCTTACCTTATTTTTATCTTCTGCAAAAAGCATACGCAGATCACCCATATATGACAGGCTACATATTTTGGCATAGAGATCTTCCTGGAAAAACATCAAATTATTTTACAAATAAAATAATAAGTTTGTAGTATTAAATAATTTCAGTGAAAAGAAGCAAACCTCATTGAATTTGGAAGGCAAAAGAAGGAGAGCAGCAGACGTTGCAGCTCTCAAATTAACAGAGTTTACATTTGAAATATCCAGATTATCCTTTAGTATATGAACCTAAAAAAAATGGTTTAGAGAAAACAATAGATAAAGGATGAACCATATCTTTTTAGTAGATGAGCAAATTCAGTAGATGATAGATCATAACTAACAGCAAACAGTTCAGAGAAAGTTAAAGATAATAGCATGTAGAATTTGTGAACCACACACATCAAAGAAAATCATAAGCAGAATCTAGAGTCTCTCATAGCTTAATTCAGTCACACAAAATAAAGAAAGAAACCGCCCTATATCCCTGTGCTTGAATTTTTTGCCAATTTAAAAGATAAAACCTCAAACATGCCAATTCTAAGTACAGGGCTGAAATTCAAACAATTTACACAAACAAAGCCCAAATAGAGGCCATACTGACATCATGACCACATCCACCACAAATTCCTCCTTAACTATCCCTATGTTCTCTTTCCACATTGCCCATAAATTTTAAGCAAATATGCTTTCTAAGTAACATTATCCAGAAACCTCCAGCCTGGTACACCTACTCATCGACAAAGCTTCTCACATAGCTAAGCATCACCTGCTATACATAAAATAGGCTAAAGAAACACCTCCAAATGAGATAAGAGGGTGGATGATGAAATAGCAAGTGACCCGTCATCTTCTCTTGACATATGATTAAATAGGCAACATCATGATCTTCTTAGGCCATTGAATGCATGAAAGAAAATGTCACTTTAGAAGGAACCATATATGTCAACAATAAGTCAGGTGAAATGAGCCTTCCCATCATTTATCAAAGAGGTGTGATAGTCAGTGGAGAATAAGATCTGACCTATCAAGAAGCCACGTCTTTTTTACCACTTCATTGACATCCATCCTATGACTAAATGGTGGCAGTGGAGGTCCTTCAATGAATCAGGTTAGGAATATATATATATATATATATTAGGAATATGAGTCATGTGCTGGCAATTTCGTTTTCAAAACTTGTGCTATAATGTGTCAAAGTGTCTTGAGTTGTTCGAGTACAACCATTAAAGACAAGGTATACACAGTTTTGTAAAAAACACAACGATAAATTGACATCTTCAATCACATATCTAGGGAACAGGTAAATTGACCTACTTTGATCGTGGTGAGCCTCACAATTCTATTTTAAATTTGTTCTTTATCAATGACTTTCAAAGGTAATGATTAGGGCATTATTCAAAACTGAATTTAAAATTGAACAACAGAATGATGGTTGATCGATGGAGCATATTCCAGAGGCTGTCGATCGAGGAACTGCTGGTTTTGTTGGGTTCAAATACTGAGAGCGTTGAGGCAACTCCTGAGGATGTCTATTGATTTAACCTGACATACATATATCTTTGGAAACTCTCTCAAAACACAATTTTACAGATTCACCTTACTAAAACGTATGAGCTACCTAACCAACGGGCCAATACCTAGCGGTATCAGGCCCCTACTTCCCAAAGGGAGGTCAGGGGTTCGAGCCTCGGTAAAGGTATGTGTGTGTGAGTACCAACCAAGAAAGAAGAAGAAGAAGAAGGAAAAAAAAAAAAAAAAAAAAAAAACGTATGAGCTACCTATGTTGGCTACAAATACGGAATTATAGTCAACCTAGGTATGATTTTGAAGTCTCTAGTCATCTAGAGAGAATTCTTCAGTGAGTAGAATTTTCCAATTACTCAATTTAGGGTTTCCATTGACACCATTATATGTGAATGAGTGTTCAATAAGGAGGAATTCATCGATTTAAATCAAATCAACCGGCCAAAGTTTCGAGCAAAAGGGGGACAATCACTGAAGAAGCAGATTTGTGAGGAGTGAAGTATATTGACTAGCGGACAAACGGCCTGAAGATTTGAGTGGGAAGTTTGGTGTCAGTCTGTGTCAAGAGGTAACTAGGGTGTTCAAGGGTGTGGGAACTCTCAAACAGGTTGTAACTTCTTTCTCATATAGTCGATTGTGCCTATCTAGACTAGGTCCCGTGGTTATTTCCGGTTGGGTTTACCACGTAAAACTGTGTCTCTCTCCTCTTTACTTTATTTTCAATAGGTCTAAATCACTACTTGCACTCTGAGGGTGTCGATCACCAATCTAGCACTAAAACCTTGATTTTCCCTTGGTATAATTTTTTTTTTGGTTTTTCTTTTGATTCAATTAGTTTTCAACTCGACTAATCGAAACCTTATTCCATCCATAGAAATTAGTCTTATCTTCTTAATCATAAACCCAAGTTCATTGTTACGATCTTAGGCAGCTTTCTTTCTTTCATGAAGTTCACATTCTACAGTACCCAGATGCCTAAGTTTTAGAATGATGGCAGCTTATTTTCCTTCATCAAGTTTCGTTCTACATCTCCCAGATACCTAAGCTTCAGAGTGATGTCATCATTAAAAAACTAATTCAACCTTACCTCCCCAACCTTAGATCTAATTCTTCTTTTAAGTGAGCCCTCATTTTAAAAAGCCCCGAAAGAACGATCATGTAAAGAACTTAGCATGTTACAAAACACTAAAAATTTCTCCGTACGATATCATAAGGGTATTAGTATTAGCATTATATATTCTTATACTATTGTAGATACCCTTTTTTTGTTCCTTTTCACTCTCTTTTGCAATCCATAGATGTAAAAATTATCATTTTAATTTCAATGCATATGACTACTGAGTTGTATTTTATCAAACACAACTTAGAAAATATAGAAATTGCATATCTTTAGTCAAACTGAGAATACTTGATTAATATAATGTCATACACATAATGAGCTCACGAATTTATTTATTCTTTATCTATATTTCAACTATTCTATTCCTATAATGCATTTCCCATGCACCAAAAAAGGCTTCTAATAAACGGTTGAAAACAGGAAAGGAAGGAGGGAGGTGCAGGCACAATTATGATTAGTCCAAATCCATTCTTAGATGAAAGGGTTTCTGATTTTCTTTCACATCGAAATATAATTCACAATTCATAAGGAACTTACAGTATCATCATGTAAAGACATAAGAGTATTAAGTATTCAAGGTAGGAACTAATACATCATAATATGATTTCACTCTTTCCTTTAAAAGGGTTTAACAAAATACGTTTCTTTTCTATCATTTTCCTCAGAAATAAAGTCCAGATAAGTCCATAGTTTAAAAAGGAGAAAAAAAATGATAACATAGCACTCTTAGAGAAGACATACAGGTTTTTGTAATCGACCACTAAGATAGAACCTCTCCCAATTGAGTATGTCCCGTATCAGATCATCCATTCGAACAACCCCATACTTGAACATCTGCCAAAAATTGCTCAAGGGTGAAGGATTTTAAGAAGACACCCTGAAACACATTTTATACCAAGATATATAACAGACAAACGAAACCACTGATGTATAATAGGTTATATGCATGTGCATGCAGATACACTAGATATTGAACTCGTTGAATTTTTAATACCTTGTCATTCCAGGTAACAAATGGGTTGAAGTGTACTCCAACACCAATTTCATCTGCAACGTCAGTAATCTAACACAACCAACCAAATATTTGATCTTAGAATAAAAAAGAACCAATTTGAGAGAGAGAGAGAGAGCAGCACCAGCCTTGCCCCGCCAAGGTGCACCATCCAGGAGGCATAGTGATCTCGATTCATTTTCAGATTGTTGGTGGCAATAAAAATAAATAAATACAATTAGAATCTATGGAACTTCTGTTCTCTGCAATGACGGAAATAAGATTTTTATTTAAAAAAAAAACCAAGTAATGCAATCCAAAACTTACCTCAGCATGCCATTGCAGAGGATTTGCTACACCTAGAATGTAATCTACCATTGATGACTGGAAAACCAAAAGCCACAGAGGTAAAATTTCAGATAGTTAAAACATAAAATTATTAAAATAAAGTGAAAAGAAAAGAAAAAGGAATCTGAATAAGACGATAAGGCCTTTTCTTTTCTTCTTCTTCTTCTTTATTATTTTATTTTATTTATTGTGATAGTTAGAAGATAAAGTCAATCATGCAGAAAAAATTATAACCTTGTCACGATTATTTGGATGGAGAGCTGAGCCATAGACACAACAAAATTCTGCAGGGGGGAGAATTTTCAGCAAACTCGCAAGCTCTTCAGATTTGTCCTCCATTGCGACACTCTGTAATTGCATGAAAACAGTCATATCATAAGCAGAAAATTTTTTGTTGCATAACAATGGCCGTCTTTAAGCCCAGATTCTCAAAAAAACACAAACAAATACTAAATTCAAGTAACTCCTTAAAATAAGGACCATCAAAACATATCCAACATTCTTGACTCATGAAGAAGCACTTCACCTCTTCACTGCAATTCAATAATTTTCGCCATGTTGAATGGCACATAATCAACATTAAGAAATGCATGAAGTACATAACATTTAAATTTTACGGCATGTGAAAGCTATATAGAATGATGGAAAAAAAAATTCAATATACTGAATGACATTTTAAAATTTTTTATGTACTAATGATTTTCTAATTGACAATCCTAATTAAAAATAGCAATGATCAGACCAAGGGAACGGTCATGGCATGAATTTGACATCTTTATAAGCCAAACTGCCCAAATAGACTTCCTGACCGGCTTACCACTCCAACTAAGTTTAAACAATATACAGTCATATTAAACAAAGAACATACTTCTTTCTGATACTATCTAAACTCCAAACAAGACTAAAGCTTAAAGAAAACAAAAAGAAAAAAGAAAAAATAAAAATAAATAACAAAGCAATGGGTGGCAACAAACTTACACATACAGAATTTGCAAAAAAAAAAAAAAAAAAACTACCCTTTTTTTCCCCCAAAGTTCAAGCAAATGTACACACGCCCACGATATAGCCCCTAGCTGGGCTCGAACACTCACGCTCCCCTTTGTAGAGGAGATCATACCTTTTGGGCCCACGCCCATTGGTAACACCATCTAATTTCAGTTTGTTTATGTCTGTATATGCATTAACATGGGAGACGAGAGCTGAGAGAGAGTTAAGCTCTGTAAGGGAAATTTTATCAAACAGTTGAGCTGCATCTCAAGTTATTACAGAGGGTATAACAGTCAGCATTTGTTTGATCTGGGTACCGAACTTTTGAATCAAAAGAGGTTTATGCTATGCAAAACCCCAATAGAGGGAATCTACCTGAAATGTGACGGTTGTGATTAAATCGAAGGAGGGTCCAAACTTGTTAGACCTTTGTTGGGTTTGTATTTGAGTATCGGGTGGCAACAGACTAACAGAAATACATACAGGGGTCCACGGAAGAGGGGATGCAAGGAGGAGCGATGCAAAGTGTAGCCAAATTGTTAATATCTACGAAGCACTGGGCACAGTACGATGCAAGAAGAGAGAATAAAGTAGGGTGGACAACATTTCGTGTTTGTGAGTTATAATTGTGTCCAGCCTATTTTACTTAATAGCTCAACCCGAATATGACCAGTTTAATAATATTTCATGAATCCTCAACACTCATTTGCCCTGTTTATTATTTAAAAAATCGTTGAAGATTATTAACAAATCTTCAAGCATTAATGGATAATACCAAGATAAATCACACTAATACTGAGAAAATCATCTATTAAAAGTTCAATTCTAACAAAAACCACTCATGGCTATTATAAATTGATTACGTTTTGCTCATAGCTCTGAGTTAAAATTCCATTAAACGGAAGTGAGACAGTGATTTTGGTTCTAGGTTAAATTTGTCGTCATTAGAGGATCGTGCATAAAGTTTTATTTTATGCAATTCTCTATGTTTTCTTATATTGAGATTTGTTTTAACTTAAAATAAAATAAAATAAAAACTGTATGTAATAAAATCCAAACAAACACATGTCACAACAAAGATTGATGATTTAATATAAAACCTAATAGAAGATAATCATCTGAAAATAATATGCAAATATATATATATACACACACCTTTTATACATATGCTAAGTACTGTATAATTAGAAAAATTGCAAAGATGCCATTGCTCCATTTGAAGGTGAAATTGTGAGAAGGGTAATTTAGGAAATAAATCACAATGATTACTTCTTTGCAATTAAGTTTTAAGTTTAGTCACTATTCATTTTTTCTTTACTTTATAGTAACTTTACATCAATTTTATTTATGATTGGTCGCTAAAATCTAATTTTCCCTATATATTAATATATACTATACGAAAACTGTATGTATAAATTGGAAACTTGGTAAATACGAATTTAACTTAACCGCCAAATCAGTTTTTTACCCTTTCACTGAACCAATCTAGTAAGAGAGTAATTGGAAAGGATTTTTTTCTGAAGTCACCTATGTTGTATAGTTTTGTATCAAAAAAGTAATACTTGTCTTAATATAGAGACCAAACACAAAAGTAGTTTTGTATCAAAAAAGTAATACTAGTCTTAATATAGAGACCAAACACAAAAGTAAGAGTCTAAATCTAGGACCAAACAGGTGGTAAAAAGATATTGGGTTGTATTATATTTGGACCAGATCCCCTACAGTGGAACAGTGATCTTATTCCCTCCAGTTCGGGATATACACTACAAAAAGGTTGAGATGTTGTTGTATATCCCAAACTGGGGTATAGGTAGAGGATCATTTTCTATTGTACTTATCCCCTCCCTCGCCCTCCCATTCAATATGTATCATCTCTTCGGTCGTCCTTCTCCGACCCTCATCTCCTGCAACTCTTTAGGTTTTTCATCTTTTCATCAAATAAAGGTGGCATAAAAGAACATATATTTGGCAAAGAAGAACAAATCTATAAACTTAAGGGCTAAAAACATAAAACCCCCCTGTTGTTTACAAAAACTATCTACTAACCCCCTCAAGTACATAAACTATCATATTACCCCCTTCATGTTTTTAAAAGTAAATCATATCACCCCTTCCCCGTTAGTTGACCGTCTAAAATTAACGGGATCTTATCACGTGTACCATATACTGCATTATGTTGACCAAAATACCCTTGTTCTCTCGTAATGACAAAATTGTCATTCTCAGTATAAAACAAATTGCACAGTCCTTTACAGATCAAAGCTTTAGTTTTGTTATCTTCTTCTCTCTTGTTTCAGTGGTGTGGTATCCTCTATAGCAGCAGTAACAGAAGTTATATATAGTACTTCATGGAAGTTGTAATTGATCGATTGAAGTCCCTAGTTGATGATTTGAAGCCTTAAATCGTAGCCTGTGTCAGCCTTAAGTTGATTATTTGAAGCCCGAAACTGCAATTAGCCAAAGCCCAAATATCTTCTTCCACCACACAATCTGTTATTCGGCAAGTTCTCAGGTATAACAACATAATATGTGGTTATGACTATCCAATTGTTGTTAGAGTGACAGGTTCAGATGAGTTTAACAGCAAAGGGACAATGGGTGAATAATTGTCTATACTTGGCACCATTTTGTCCAAGAAAAGTGACATGAACCACTTGGAATCCACCAAGATCTTCGACCACTGAGTGATTACAGACACAAGACACACACACAACACTCGCTTTCAAGGATTACACTCAACACTCGCTTCCAACACTTGCCTCCATAATACACTTAGCGCACACATACAAACACAACACAACAATTTAGGACATAAAATCGTTTTATTATATTATATAACCCACACGACATCGTTTCATTTTAATAAAATATTAATATACTATCAAGGGCATTATTGTTATTTCGCAGTCACTTAATGGTTCTGTAATGAAAAGGGGGCAACGTGATAGTTTATGTTAGTTTAAGGATTTTTTTTAATACTTGAGGGGGTTATATGTAGTTTTTGTAAATAACAATGGCTTTTATGTTTTTAGCCCTAAACTTAATTGTATTATATTAGTTTATGGTTGAATCTTCTCCGTGAGCATTTTTATTATATATTATTTATTAAGAACAAATATATACAAATCTATCTATATTTTAGATTCTCTTTTTCTCTGTAAATATATATATATACACACTAAGCCATGTCCTTTAGAGTGTCGTTGTCATGTCCGTTCTTATTATTATTATTATTGAAAAAGGTCAAGATGTAATACCCCTAGTTTTCAAAAGGGTATAATGGGGATTTAATTATTTTATTTTATTGTATTTTAATTTATTATGTGGCTATTTGCTTACGTAACTATGTGTATGTGCTTATGTACTTAGTTGATTAAATTGTTTGATGTGTTTTGTATGTATTAATTGGCGTGTATAATTTGTGTGATATGATGTGTGTGATTAATTGTGTCGGTGGAAGTAATTATATACTCCCTCTTTTCCTTTTTAATTGTCCTCTTCGTAAACTGTGACTCACAATTATATTATTGTATTGTATTGTATGTCATTTGATGGTGGAGGCTTGTGCACGTGAGCTGTTGTGTGAAGAGTGTCGGTGGAAGAGTGTTGGTGGAAGTAATTATATACTCCATCCTTCCCTTTTTAATTGTCCGCTTTGTAAACTGTGACTCACAAATGTGAGGCCCTTAAGTTTCACACACGCAAAAACAAATTATAAGAGTGCGAAATTTTGCACACGATGTTTTCAAATTCTATAGCTAATATAATTGTGCGCCTGTGCATCGTGCATAAAACAACTAACTAATAACTACAAATTATCACCACCAACAAATAATTGCGTGCCTGTGTGCATAAGACAACTAACTAATAACTATAAATCTATCACCACCAATAAATAATTGTGCGCCTGTGCAGTGTGCTTAAGACAACTAACTAATAACTATAAATTTTTATCACTACCAATAAATAATTATGCGCTTGTGCAGTTTGAATAAGACAACTAACTAATAACTATAAATCTATCATCACTAATAAATAATTGTGCTCATGTGCAGTGTGCATAAGACAGCTAACTAATAACAATAAATCAATCAATTAAAGAGTGCGAACTTTTCACAGGCACAAAATAAAAAATGAAGAGAATAGTTTATTAGAGAACATAAAACTGCAGTTTTTTTTACATTCATTGTTTATATAGCTACTAAAATTTGATGATTACAGATGACAAAAATATGTGGAGATTAGGTGACTATATATATATATATATATATATATATATATATATATATATATATATTATAGGAGGCTGAACTTGTAGTACTGAAGAAGCAGCGGGACTTTTAGGTTATGTG